AAGGAAGTGGTGAGGCAGACCAAAGCCCTACATGGGCTGTAGTGCCACAGGGATGGAAGGAAGTGGTGAGGCAGACCAAAGCCCTACATGGGCTGTAGCGCCACAGGGATGGAAGGAAGTAATGAGGCAGGCCAAAGCCCTACAAGGGCTGTAGCACCACAGTGATGAATGTGTCAATTAGCCAACCCCCAGGCTGAGCTCTCTACAATACACATTATTTGAGACATAAAATAATTAATGGTGAATGTCTTGATACTTGATAGCTTAGTAGATTCCTTAAAAAATCTCATTAATAAAATGCATGTCTTACTGTATGGTTGAAACCAAAACTTCACAAATGATTTAATAAATCTCTTGTATTTTAAATAATTATAAGAGAAATTTAAAATTTTAAAAAAAAATTCAATTACAGAATAAAACTATAAACAATTAAGTTATTAAATATGTTAAAAAGATTGTCAAGGCATTGAATTTTTCTTTATTATCAGTGAAAGGTGAAAGGAACTGACCATGAAATATAATTAGCTATTGACAGCATTGCAGTATTAAAAAAAGTATTGGCTTTTATTCAACAGTTTCATTTAAAATCCAACAAAAAATAATTAGCACAAACAAAGAAAAATGCTGGATATGGTAAAAAGTGAATCTCCAATAGCATATTTTCATAACCTTAAGATCTCTTTCATAAAACATAATCAAAATAGAAATAATTATTCATTTTATAAACTGCTTTTGGAAATAAACATTCTGAATTTCTTCTACACCTTAAAAAAAATAACCTTTCAGACCGTCAGTTGTTTGTTTTTTTCTATCATACAGATGAGTGATCTAATGATAAATCAATTAAACTAACTTAAAAATATACGAGGAATGATCAAAACAAAGGACAGACATCAGCTCAATGAAGTTGTTTTTTTTTTACTTAGCTAGGGATTTAGGGGTAATTACCCTACCTTTAAAACTGCTTATATCCCTTTACTACAAATGATGCTCTTTTTCCAATTTTTTATTTTTTTTTAGTGAGACATTTATTACAGTTTACAGTAGTATTTTATTAATACTGTTAACACAAATAGATTAAAATATCTTGAATGTATGTCTTTATTTGGTAAAGCAACATCAAACACTCAAGAAATAAAAGTAAATCCAAAAAAGTTGGGTATATAATAATGTACAGAGTGATTTCTGTATAACCAAAGAAAAATTCAAAAATTCAAAGTTTTGATAAAATTAGTTATATCCAATTGCACAATTCAAATGAAAGAACTTAAAGGGAAACAGTCCCAGAATGTTGACACAAAAATTTAACTGACGGGAAGGAATGAAATTTAATTTACAAAATTAATGTACAATTATAAATGAGGTTTGAACCAGTTTCAAACATTTCTTGTATACATAGTCTAACAAAGTTTGTCATCTTATACATGCCACTAACATTCTTTTCATCTACATTTATACTTTTTACTTTCTCCTCATCCACATTTATACTACTTGCATTCTTCTCAACCACGTTTATGCTACATTGAATCCACATTGAAGCTACTTTATTCTTCTAATCCACATACATGCTACTTATATCCTTCTAATCCCCTTACATGCTACTCTCTTCTCATCCTATTTTCATATTTTATAAATAGAAATTTTGATTCTCATTGTAAATGACAGCTGACTTTTCTAAGAGAATCAAAATGTAATCAAGTTTAAAACAAAACTTTGTATGCAACAGCAAAACTCAGTCAAGCATGGAATTTATAAAAAATATGTCAGTCAAAGGTAATTCCCAATTACAAGGCATTCATTAGGTCTTATCGTTCATAGAAGATCAAATAAATTTTAATATATTTTTTGTACCCACTAAATTAATATCAAATTACAAAAATTATTATCAACAAAATTATTTGTGATTATTTATGGAGCCCAATTTTTGCTTAGTATCAGTCAATTAAAAGAAATAGAGATTCTTTTTTGAAAAAGTTTAGTGAAGAGAAACAAAGTGGAAAAGTCTTCTGATTAATCATTTCAAGAAATTAGATAAATAGAGGAATTATTTTGATTTTTTAGTGTCATGACCAATGTTCCCTTTAAGCTGTGTGGCTGCGCAGCTATCTCACAGACGCCTCGCAGCAGTTTTGAGTTTCTGCGCAGCAAATCAGCAAATTTCCATTTAAGTGTGTGTTTGTGGGCTGTAAAATTTTGCACACAAAAAAATTGATGCTGCAAAACTTTGCACACAACTGTATGATTTTGCACACAAACCAACAAACCTTGGTCATGACCATTTTAGAAATAAATGTAATTTCTTTCTAAATCTCTCAATATGGAACAAGATAGACTGGATGTAAATCAAAAGTACATCAAACACATTGGGGATGATAATCTGTGACATTACATACAAAATTCATGAGTGTTTTCTTTTATGAACAGGACAAAAAGATCAGAAACTCATCTAATAATGTCTTTCTTTGAGTTAAGCTTGGATGCGATAACTCTAAAATAAAGAGACTTTTTGGAATGGAACAAAAACATTCAGTGATGTAAAAAAAATTCATATTGTTTTTTTAAAACTCTAATTTTTAAAACTTGAATGTATTGGAATGTATTATGCAAACTGGATGTTTACAGTTTCTTAAGAGCATTAGAATTAAGTTCAATGACCTTGTGGAAAGCAGCAATAAGTTAAATGTGTGCTACAGTGTGCAACAGATACATACCAAAATACCTTTGATATATCATAAAAATACATCTTCTTGAAATATATATGTGAAAATGTGTGATAGCACCATTAAAATTAACCCTGTTATTTAAATCTAGAGCAGGTGTGGGCAAGCTGGGGTAAACTGTCCCCAATGAGGTAAAAATGAAAGTGAGCGCTCACATTTATAAATCAAAGAATATAAAAAGCTATATCTTTGTTATCACATTAATTTTTCATTTCGGCAACACAGCATCTGGTCAGTGTAACAGTAGGCTCACTAGTAGAAAATGCACCAATTTTCTTGTCGCTCTATAGTGACTCTGCAGATAGCATAAATGCATGTCTTATCTTGTTTATGTTGATTTCGCCGAGTTGCCTTCATTTTAAAACGTTTGAGGATTTTCGTCATCTATTTTACCACATTTATTTTATACTTTAAAAAAACATTCGCCTTGTCAATAGCCCTTATTACCCACCTTGAAATGAGGGCGTAATGTGCACACAATATTTTGGGATGCTTGCAACACAAAAAAAACCAGGACCCCTAATCTAAAGTCTTGGTGGTTCATTTGTTCTCTTGTGAATTATTAAATTTGATAAAGAGATGCTAGTCACAAAAAGGATTTTCTGTTATCCTGCAAATAAGATTGACAGCAATAAAAATTTAGCTTTTAAAAATAAACAATTTTTGTTAATCCAAAATATATTTCTATTTAATTTGTAACAAACTAGATTACCTTTTGGAGGCGCACACACATAGACATACGGAGACACAGTATAAAGATGTAGGCAAGACATTTTCATGGGAGTGAATTTAGGACCATCCTGTTATCAATGGAGCAAAAGGCTAAAGACATAGTAGCACTGAATACATCTGGCGACCTTATGTTCTTATTTTCTAGTAATTACAGAATAGGATGATCTAAAGCATCGAGTCTCAACTTTCCTAATGCCGCACCTCTTTATAGTTCCTCAAGCCGTGGCGACCCCCCAAAACACAAAATAATGTTTGTTGCGACATCATAAATGTAGAGTATTGGTGTTTTCCGGTGGTCTTAGGCCCGAAAGGGGTCGGGACCCACAGGTTGAGAGCCACTGGTCTAAAGCCTCACTGATACCCTATTGATCAAACATTATTTAAACTGCTAAAGTATGTTATTATTTCCATTTTTAGAGCATCTTTGGTTCTGGCAACATAATATTTAATGATGACTAACTTTCATAAGTTGTTTTGAGTGGCAATTGAGCATTCCAAAATAAAACATTCCTTGAATTTTAATTTACCCAATATTACAGACCTGTTTACCGACAGGGTTACTGTCAGGGTTTGTGTCTTTGTTACTGTCAGAGTTAGTGTCAGGGTTTGTGTAAGGGTTACTGTCAGGGTTTGTGTCTTTGTCACTATCAGGGTTTGTGTCAGGGTTACTGTCAGGGTTTGTGTCAGGGTTTGTGTGAGGGTTTGTGTCAGGGTTTGTGTCAGGGTTATTGTCAGGGTTTGTGTCAGGGTTACTGTCAGGGTTTGTGTCAGGGTTACTGTCAGGGTTTGTGTCAGGGTTTGTGTCAGGGTTACTGTCAGAATTTGAGTCAGGGTTTGCGTCAGGGTTACTGTAAGGGTTTGTGTCAGGTTTTGTGTCAGGTTTTGTGTCAGGGTTACTGTCAGGATTTGTGTCAGGGTTACTGTCAGGATTTGTGTCAGGGTTACTGTCAGGGTTTGTGTCAGGTTTTGTATCAGGGTTTGTGTCAGGGGTTGTGTCAGGGTTTGTGTCAGGGTTTGTGACAGGTTTTGTGTCAGGTTTGTGTCAGGTTTTGTGTCAGGTTTGTGTCAGGTTTTTTGTCAGGTTTGTGTCAGGTTTTGTGTCAGGTTTTGTGTCAGGTTTTGTGTCAGGGTTTGTGTCAGGGTTAATGTCAGGGTTTGTGTCTTTTTTAGTTTGTTACTGTCTTTGTTAATGTCAGGGTTACTGTCAGGGTTTGTGTCTTTGTTACTGTCAGGGTTTGTGTCTGGTCGGCTGTCACCTCTCAAAAACGTTACTTCAAGCTCCAAAGATTAGATTGGTTATATAATGTTACTATTGGCAAAATAAGTAAACAAATAAATGTGTGTCCATTTTTTTTATAAACCCAATCCTTTTAACCAAATACATTGTAAAAAAGATAATGAGATGTCTAGGCAATTTAATCAAAGACACGTGAGACCAGGCAAAAAGCTGATTAAAGTCACCATAACAAATGATAAATTATTTTTAAAGCTGTCTACTTGTGATTCATTGTTTAGTCGTTGCAGGTTTTCCAATATTCCCAAGCATATTTAATCTGCAGGTTTTAAACAAATCTGCAGTATCAACGAGTCATCCACGATAAACGGAGATTGGGGCTCGAATAACTCTGTCACTGAAACCTTTTTCTCCATCTCAGTATCAGAAGAGTAGCGAGCCTTGGAGAAGTTCTTCTTCCCACAAACTGACTGCAGGAGCTGTTGGCTGTTGGCCAGGCACAAGCAGTACTCCACCGCCCTGGGCTGCTCTAAAATAACATTAGAGAACAGAAGGATTCGAAAGTCTTCTGCGTTACTGCCAAAACCTTTAGGGTAGACCTTAAGCTCCCACTCCCACGTCTGGGCTGGGAATGACGATGCACGAGTAGAAAATCTTATTCCAAGCTCGGCACCTTTTTGAACGGTCGATAGGTGAGGTATGACAATACGTTTGTCCCAGCGAAGAGTGGAGTAGTTCCGTAAAAGAAAAGACTTGGTGGTGAAATCTTTAATGCGAGAACGGGTGGATAGCGGAAGAGCATGGTACTTGTAGGCCAGCAGTAAATGATGCTGAAACAGATCTCGGTGCTGTTCTATCAGTGGCAGTGACTCCAGCTGGAACACATGCGGGAATACAGACGGCACAAATGTGTTAGTGAATTTAAACTCCTTAATGGAGGTTAATTAATGAAAATATCATAAAGACTGAAAATATTTATGTGACGGGTGAAAGTAAAGACTGAAAATACTTGTGTGACATATGACAGTACAGTAAAGACTGAAAATACTTGTGCGACGGATGAAAGTAAAGACTGAAAATACTTGTGCGACGGATGAACGTAAAGACTGAAAATACTTGTGTGACGGATGAAAGTAAAGACTGAAAATACTTGTGAGACGGGTGAAAGTAAAGACTGAAAATACTTGTGCGACGGATGAAAGTAAAGACTGAAAATACTTGTGCGATGGATGAACGTAAAGACTGAAAATACTTGTGTGACGGATGAAAGTAAAGACTGAAAATACTTGTGCGACGGGTGAAAGTAAAGACTGAAAATACTTGTGCGACGGATGAAAGTAAAGACTGAAAATACTTGTGTGACGGACGAAAGTAAAGACTGAAAATATTTGTGTGATGGATGAAAGTAAAGACTGAAAATATTTTTGTCACGGATGAAATGGGTTAAATAAATATAAAGTAATGGTAGCTCATTTAGATTTAATGGTAGCTAAATCTGATATTTTGTAAGCATGTAAAACTGCAATGTTTAAAAAAAAAATACTAATCAATGTATATTTGTGGTATCTAACTGTCTAAACAGGCACTTCAGCATATTCACCATTTTATGCAATATTAAGATCTAAATTTATTTGTCCTGTTGAAATTAAACATGTAAGATTGATGTGGTATATGCATGATGATTAAATTTTCTCTTTTGTAATTATTTACCTAATACACATTAGTTTTGTCCCCAGTTTGAATTTATTACTTATATACACATAAGTTTTGTCCGTAGATTTAATTTATTACTTATATACACATAAGTTTTGTCCGTAGATTTAATTTATTACTTATATACACATAAGTTTTGTCCGTAGATTTAATTTATTACTTATATACACATTAGTTTTGTCCTTAGATTTAATTTATTACTTATATACACATTATTTTTGTCCGTAGATTTAATTTATTACTTATATACACATAAGTTTTGTCCGTAGATTTAATTTATTACTTATATACACATAAGTTTTGTCCGTAGATTTAATTTATTACTTATATACACATAAGTTTTGTCCGTAGATTTAATTTATTACTTATATACACATAAGTCTTGTCCGTAGATTTAATTTATTACTTATATACACATAAGTTTTGTCCGTAAATTTAATTTATTACTTATATACACATAAGTTTTGTCCGTAGATTTAATTTATTACTTATATACACATAAGTTTTGTCCTTAGATTTAATTTATTACTTATATACACATAAGTTTTGTCCTTAGATTTAATTTATTACTTATATACACATAAGTTTTGTCCGTAGATTTAATTTATTACTTATATACACATAAGTTTTGTCCGTAGATTTAATTTATTACTTATATACACATAAGTTTTGTCCGTAGATTTAATTTATTACTTATATACACATAAGTTTTGTCCTTAGATTTAATTTATTACTTATATACACATTAGTTTTGTCCTTAAGATTTAATTTATTACTTATATACACATGAGTTTTGTCCTTAGATTTAATTTATTACTTATATACACATTAGTTTTGTCCTTAGATTTAATTTATTACTTATATACACATAAGTTTTGTCCTTAGATTTAATTTATTACTTATATACACATAAGTTTTGTCCTTAGTTGTAATTTATTACTTATATACACATAAGTTTTATCCTTAGTTGTAATTTATTACTTATATACACATAAGTTTTATCCTTAGATTTAATTTATTACCTATACACATAAAATGGATAAGGACCTTTAGGAACTAAACATAAATTATGTATGGACCCTTCATGACTAGGATAAACGACCTTTAGGAGAGAACAATATGACTGGGAAAGCAATTTCAGTGATAAACAGACATGACTTACCTGATTGAGTTGGTCGGGTGTCATCATTGGAAATCTGACAGCGTCCATCACACTGGTCAAAACTTCTTCAAACCGCTTGTTATTTAAATGTTTGGACTCTTTGTACGCCTTTGAGAAATTAAATAATAACAATTTTTTTAATGGCAAGATTCTGTGCTGTTGAAGTAGATTTATTTATTAGAAACGTTTTTTATTTTACTTACAACTTGCAGAAGAATATCAAGATAAAAAACAATGAAATTTGTTAGACTGACTTGAGCATTGGTGGCCTATCACAACAAATCATAGTGAAATTAGTTTTCATGAATTAAACTTTGTTCCTTTAAATCAGTGGGGGACAACCTGCACCCGTGGGAAGCGCTGGCATGTTAAATAGTGCGGCCACCAGATGCATCATACATGACCTTCTTACTTTGTTCAATCTGTGCTTATTCTTAATCATTTTATATAAATTTAAACACATCATTTGATATAAATACAAACACCAATAAAAATGAATATCTAAATGTTGACGTACTGTAAATATTTTTTCTCCCATTAAAATGTGGATCTTGTGCAGTTAACCCATGTTTTTTTTTCCCTTTCTGTTTGGTACCCTCATTTACCATTGGCCACAGTACCCTCATTTACCATTGGCCACAGTACCCTCATTTACCTTTGGCCACTGTACCCTCATTTACCATTGGCCACAGTACCCTCATTTACCATTGGCCACTGTACCCTCATTTACTATTGGCCCCTGTACCCTCATTTACCATTGGCCTCTGTACCCTCATTTACCATTGGCCACAGTACCCTCATTTACCACTGGCCACTGTACCCTCATTTCCCATTAGCCAATGTTACCTCATTTACTATTAGCCATGCACTGTACCCTCATTTACTATTAGCCACTGTACCCTCAATTACCATTGGCCACTGTACCCTCATTTACCATTGGCCACTGTACCCTCATTTACCATTAGCCAATGTTACCTCATTTACCATTAGCCTTGCACTGTACCCTCATTTACAATTAGCCACTGTACCTTCATTTGCCATTGGTCATGGTACCCTAATTTACCATTGGCCACTGTACCCTCATTTACCATTAGCCACTTGACCACAGCCATCCAAAGATCAAATTCATCTTTGACCACCAGGCAGGATGAGTTCAACATCTCAATCAGCTGATCTTTGTCCAAACTCAGCCACTCCGCCTCCCATTCGGCCGTATTTATAACTTCGTCCATCTTTAAAGCCAACGCCTGTTGACAGAGGAGAAGATCTCTTACTGAGAAATCATCCATATCTTTGTCTTTGTAATGAGCTTAAATAATAATTGTAAACTTGTAACTACAACTCTAAAGATTCTTGTTATTATGATAGCAAATTGAAACTTTGCCAATCAGATCTGTCAACAAAATTACACCTAAATGAGGAGGCCAACACTTCAGAAGAACATAAGCTAAACACAATGTGGGCAGATACTCATCATTCTGGTATAAGGGCTTTAGAATGGGGGTTGGGGGGGGGGGTGTTTAAACATGAGATTAGTGAGGATAGTTGATCAGGGACATCCAAGATGAGAGGACAGTCAATCAGGGACAACCAAGATGAGAGGACAGTCGATCAGGGACAACCAAGATGAGAGGACAGTCGATCAGGGACAACCAAGATGAGAGGACAGTCAATCAGGGACAACCAAGACGTCACAAATTTCAATCAGATTGAATTACAGTAAATTGCAAACATCTGACACTGAAATCGGTTAACAACCTTTGCAAATGTAAATATATATTAATATATATATTTATATATATAATATTTATTAAATTTTGGGTCTTAAGTAGCTTGTATTGGTAAACAAGGTGAAACACTTGTTGGTACCTGAACACATGCCTTCGTGAGCCTATGATGGTAGCATTTTGTGGCATATTGAAACCATACATGAAAGACATCTTTCAGCTGAACCTTTGGTATGATGTAGAAGCAGGCAAAGTCCAGACAGACCTGAAAATACACATTTGGGTATTGAGTTTAAAAGGACAAAATAAATTCTCTTTGTTATTAACTTTATTTCCAAACTATTTTAAAACCATGAGGTCATTAATCCTGCAAAGTGGTTGAAAATGTTCTTACTTACAGTGCGCAGGTCTGTTACATTGTATTTGTCCGACAGGATGAGAACTGGCAATGTGTTGTCTATGTTTAGTTTTATATGGCAGCTGTAGAGAAAATTGAGAAACCTTGGAAACACGCCAAGACACACACTGTCCTCCACCAACTTGATTTCCTGAGGAAATAAATCTGAGTTTTATCATTTGTGAGATCATTTAAAAACATTGCTTACTAGAAAGGGGGAATAACTTACAAAAAAATTGGGTGAAGATAAAAAAATATATATATATATGAAGAGTCGATTTTCAAAATGCTGTATCTCCATTTTTGGCATTTTGAGATAATCGGCTTTTACTGATACACAATGATGGCTCAAATTTTCTGAAAATTACATGTTAATTTAGGTATATATTCAAAATATAAGTTAGATTATGATGAAAATTGAAATATAGGTTAATTAAAATGTATTTATTTACTTGTTTGAATTTCTTATTTAGTTTCAAAATGCTGTGTATCCAGCTGTAACTTAGCGACAAAATACTGTATATCCATTTTGATAGCATAACATTATTCCCAGTAGCAAATAATTCAAGTTGTTTTTAGATTACAAATCACTTACAAAACAAATTATAATAAAATTAAATTGTATCATATACATTATATAATTGTGTATGATTAATGTTTTTTTATTGATATATTTTAACAGAACAGTATTATAAATGCTGGATGTCCCCTGTAATAGTGTAATGTTTAGAGTGCTATAAGTTTGCATAATTTGTTTTTATAAATCTGAATTCTAAACAAAAGTAAACAAGATAATGTTCAATTCACAAATCGTTTTATTTGAATATAGAACATAATGAAGTGTCTGATTCAGAGTGCGCATCATCTTCAATAGCAGTTTGGTTGATTCAGAGTGTGCATCATCTTCAATAGCAGTTTGGTTGATTCAGAGTGTGCATCATCTTCATTAGCAGTTTCGTTGATTCAGAGTGTGCATCACCTTCAATAGCAGTTTGGTTGATTCAGAGGGTGCATCATCTTCAATAGCAGTTCGGTTGATTAAGAGTGTGCATCATCTTCAATAGAAGTTTGGTTGATTCAGAGTGTGCATCACCTTCAATAGCAGTTTGGTTGATTCAGAGTGTGCATCATCTTCAATAGCAGTTTGGTTGATTCAGAGTGTGCATCATCTTCAATAGCAGTTTGGTTGATTCAGAGTGTGCATCATCTTCAATAGCAGTTTGGTTGATTCAGAGTGTGCATCATCTTCAATAGCAGTTTGGTTGATTCAGAGTGTGCATCATCTTCAATAGCAGTTTGGTTGATTCAGAGTGTGCATCATCTTCAATAGAAGTTTGGTTGATTCAGAGTGTGCATCATCTTCAATAGCAGTTTGGTTGATTCAGAGTGTGCATCACCTTCAATAGCAGTTTGGTTGATTCAGAGTGTGCATCATCTTCAATAGCAGTTTGGTTGTTTCAGAGTGTGCATCATCTTCAATAGCAGTTTGGTTGATTCAGAGTGTGCATCATCTTCAATAACAGTTTCGTTGATTCAGAGTGTGCATCATCTTCAATTGCAGTTTGGTTGATTCAGAGTGTGCATCGTCTTCAATAGCAGTTTGGTTGATTCAGAGTGTGCATCATCTTCAATAGCAGTTTGGTTGATTCAGAGTGTGCATCATCTTCAATAGCAGTTTGGTTGATTCAGAGTGTGCATCATCTTCATTAGCAGTTTGGTTGATTCAGAGTGTGCATCATCTTCAATAGCAGTTTGGTTGATTCAGAGTGTGCATCATCTTCAATAGCAGTTCGGTTGATTAAGAGTGTGCATCATCTTCAATTGCAGTTTGGTTGATTAAGAGTGTGCATCATCTTCAATAGCAGTTTGGTTGATTAAGAGGGTGCATCATCTTCAATAGCAGTTCGGTTGATTAAGAGTGTGCATCATCTTCAATAGCAGTTTGGTTGATTCAGAGTGTGCATCATCTTCAATAGCAGTTTGGTTGATTCAGAGTGTGCATCATCTTCAATAGCAGTTTGGTTGATTCAGAGTGTGCATCATCTTCAATAGCAGTTTGGTTGATTCAGAGTGTGCATCATCTTCAATAGCAGTTTGGTTGATTCAGAGTGTGCATCATCTTCAATAGCAGTTTGGTTGATTCAGAGTGTGCATCGTCTTCAATAGCAGTTTGGTTGATTCAGAGTGTGCATCATCTTCAATAGCAGTTTGGTTGATTCAGAGTGTGCATCATCTTCAATAGCAGTTTGGTTGATTCAGAGTGTGCATCATCTTCAATAGCAGTTTGGTTGATTCAGAGTGTGCATCACCTTCAATAGCAGTTTGGTTGATTCAGAGTGTGCATCATCTTCAAAAGCAGTTTGGTTTTGTTCCAGGAAGTTGATGCTTCTTATTTACATTCAAATCAGAGGGCAAATAGTTCTGTCCTTGAGCACCCTTTTCTACTGTAATGGCTGGCTCTGCATGTGAAAGATTGAATGTGTATTAAATAACACAGCTAACTCTGTGAAGCAACTTTTTATTTTCATTTCCTGAACACTTCTGATGTGTAGCAACCATAACCATAATAATAATAATGAATAATGTAAAATGAAATTTAGTGGTTTTTTAGTAAAGTTACCGGTTAACTCACCTTGCAGAACCATTTATCGTGATTACATTTAACCGAGGGGATCTTTCCTCCGCTTGAATGACGAAATGATTTGTCTTTTTCTCGTGTTGGGCTTTTTTCTTTCTTTTTCAAGATTTTATAGTACAAACAACTCTTTCATCCAGGCCGTCGTTATGCACCGTGTTTGTTGTTGTTTTGCATCATGATGTTTAGTGCGCATGAGCAGAATAGCTTGCCAATCACACGGATTGGTCCGAAAATATATACAGCATTTTGATAATAAAAAAAAAATACAAACCGCATTTTGAAAATAAAATCATTTTTAGACATAGAATAATATAGTATTAAAATGTGTTTTGTAGATATATTTTAACATTCCCTAAAGGAACCTGGTCTGCTCTACAAGAATGTACAGTTATCTCATTTTTTTCAAAATGGCGTATACCACGTTTTGAAAATCGACTCTTCATTTATTATATATATATTATTTTTAATTGTTTTACATAAGTTTAAAAAATTCTCTCAAATTTCTATAATTACCAATCTATAAGTTGTAAAATATTATATATCTAGCACTTAATAGTGTGAGTGCTGTGCTGTTTTGTGTCACGATGGACATATAAAATATTGCTTGATTTTCCAAATTGGGTTTTCTCCCTTAGCTACTGGCTTTCTGTGGTGCTTTAAACTTACATGCAGGGTCGGCGAACAGGGTAATGACCTTAAATGGGGTAAAAATGAACATCTGTTGGTAATGGAGGCTCAAAAGACAATAAAATTATATTAAATATGTTTTCCTTTTTACCAAAGTATTTGGGGGGGGGGGGGGGGGGGGGGGGGGCAGAGAGAGATTTGCTTTGAAAATTGCACATAATGTGACTGTTAATAGTTGCTACCTTTTGAAACAACATATCTTTAGGTACAAGAATTTTCCACACTAAGGAACTTAAAACCAAAGCAGGAAAATCAATTATTGAACCATGAAAACAGTTTCCAAATTGCTCTCCAAATTGTAATGTTATTGTATCAACAATTCCATAATATAAGTATTTTATTCATTTATTTTTATCTCATTTATTTTAAAAAAATTATATTTATTAATGTATTCTCTGCATAAATAGATTCAATAAACCATTTGAATTTAAATATTCTTTCATTTTCTTCCTCCCAATAGAGGGCTTAAACAAATAAATTTGGGGGTAATGGCTAAAAAATTTTGCAGACTCCTACTTTAAAGGGAGTTTACTCACAAATATAGCGTGTGTTTTTGATTCATCACCACTGTTAAAAATTTTCTGTAATTCCGAGATTTTAACTCAGGCTGTCTAAACCTGAGCAACTCCAGCATCTAGTTTCCATAATCCTTTTAGCTCATTTAATATTTAACACCACAATGTTGCTGTAAAATGAGCTGTAAGCAAAGTTTTGGTGTTTTTCTTGACCAGACAAAAACCACTTTCAATCAAGAGGTCACACAATTTCACTTTCAAATTTTGGTTAGACCATGTTTAAAACTGATTTCTGTTTTTAATCTAACCTTTTCTTTGTGGCTGTCCCACTGACGACTTGTGAACATGCGTTCAAAGACTTGGGATGCACGGACTAAAACCAACTTGTGAGCAAAATACTTCTCATTTTCAACCTGAAGTATGACATCACTGAGCAGTTTGTTGTTGAAAAATTTGGCTTGCTCTGACAAGACTTCCCGTTCATTACCATAACAATCAATTCCTGAAAGTGACAAATATATATCATCAGGCAAACAGAGCATGAAAGAAGTAGGCCAATTTTCATAATGAATTTATCATTTGACTTGTAATTAGTTTTTGGACTCTGAAATTGAAAAACTTCTTTCAAAAGCGCCCTTTGTTTCATAATATTTTGTTCACGAGTTTAAATCTATTTGGTTACCATCTTCACTTTCCAGGCGCAGTGCAAGTGTAGTAGGTGAAAGACAGTGTTGAAAACATTTGGGGGGGGCAGTCCCATCATCCATGCTCGTCTGGTCCATGACACAGACTTGATCTGGGGGTGGTACGGCCATGACTCTAGGAAATATATTCCATATCACTACAAAAGAAGAGACCAACAAAAAAAATTAAAATATGTCTGACAATCTAAAAATGTAGTTAATTGTTAATAATAAAAAAAGTGTTAACTGCAATTAAATAGATTAATGCTACACAAACAATATATTTGAAGCTTTAATTGTGATAAGACAAAATTCAAATTTAAATGTTTCATCAGTACCCGGTACAACAAAATCATTCCTATAAGTATAATATATATCTATATTCTACCTGTAACTAAAAATGAAATAGAGAAAAGAATAAGAATGGACACATGTCTCAAACAAAAACAAAGCTCAGAAGAATGGAAAGAAAGTTGGTGGAAGTACAATATAAAAATTAAACAGGAAAAAGACAGTGCAGCTGTGAAAAATGGTGAATTTGGTTCATACCATATGCATTCAACATCTTTTTATTAATTTATCTTCCAAATAAATGCTATCAGATGTATTACTCACATACAATATACCAGTAACTGCAATGTCTAACATTCCTTTACAGTTAGCACTACTGAAATGTTTGGAAATGGGACAAAGGGCTTGTTTATTGGTGCTGTACAGGTGTCCCCTAAAAGACTCCAAGGCGACAGCCTGTCTCCCCTAAGCATGATTTTTTGCACTTTTTACAAAAGATGGTATAAATCATGTTGCTACATTCTGCAAGTAAAACCTTTTTTGATTCTGAATATTTCCAGAGGGAAAGGGATCTTATCAACTTCATTTACATAGGGACATCCAGAGGGAAAGTGATGAAGGGAAATGTGTTACAGCAGCTACTGTTTCAACTTTTGGTGACTATATGTGCATTTAATAGCAGGAAGGTTACTTCAAACAAACATGTCCCTAAAGTTCTTGTCATGTGCATTAACAGCCAGAGACGTGATGTGGCATTAGGGGGCCCCAAACCAATTATTATAAAACTTTTTATTTCTTTTCACGTTAAAACTTTAGGCCCCTTAAATTTCTGAGGCACCCTGCAGCCACAGGGGTTGTAGTGCACACGGGATAGCTTTGATTATACATATGTGCAATTTGTTAGTTTTATCTTTTTTTTTTCAATATAATGTGGATAATTATGACTTCTTCTTTAAAATGATTGAGCAAGCTCATCATTCTTGCTGAACCTGGGAAATTGCACTATCCCTGCGAATAGCACCACTTTTGCTTTGGTCCCAAGAGTTTGTGCCAATCATAGGTTTCACTGTAATATATTTTTGGGAGCCACAGGTAGGGGTTATGAGTTTAAGAAATACTGTCCAATTTTTACATGTTAAAACACTTAATACTTGGCAGTTTGTGTATATTAAAATTGCTATAAAATAAAACAAAATAAAAATAATACTATTTGAAAAATGAATATAATAATTTAATTCATAACATATCTTTTTGATATGATGAACAAAAGCAAACAAAAACAATGGCGTAGTAAAACTCTGTCAGCCTCTAACAATTGATCCCCAAACATAAAAACGTCAGGCGTATACTCAACCAAAAGACCACACGGGATCATTTTCAACTATCATATGTCAAAACCACGCCAATGTTTTTTTTTGTTTTTTTTTCAGTGGTGTGTGTAAGCAGGCCTAAATCTATGGAACCTATAGTTTTGTTAGGTACACTGCTAGGGTCCAAATAAGTAATTACTGACATAACTTTAAGCAATCTGCGTCGACTAGGCCGATCTATTGGTCCAAGAGTGGGCCAATTTATCGCTCCAAGAGTCAGTGGCGAAAAAGACAAAGGAATACAAATACAAGCTTAGAGACTGCCTGGCTGGTCTTCCGATAGGTAATCAGATTGCTTCATGCTTCCATTGATAGATTACAGTATTCTGTCATTTTTTATCAATTTTTCTGTACCAAGTGACCCTACCCTAATAAATGCTCTAAAGTGTAAGTGAAAAATAATTGCTAAATTATGCAAAGGGAAGCATTATAGGCAGTCGGCTGCGCGTAACCCTGAGAGTTATTCCCGACTGCCTGTAACGCTGAGCGTTATAAGTATAAGCAGTCGGCTGGGAATTAAGCCGAATAAGTGAATAAGGTTTATTACTGCTAGTTTGGCAATTTTTAAAAAAAGGATTATTGCTATTATGCGTAATTAGCTAAATTATGTTTTTTTTTAACTATAACTTTTAACGTGTTTAACGTAAATTTTAATTATTTTTAATTAATATTGAATGACAGTATTAGTCATTAGTGAGTGAATTATTACCCTAATATTATAAGTCTAAGACTAAGAAGATTTTTAATAATATTAAGGCATTTCCATGGTTTAATTACTTTAGGTACTTCTGAAGACGTTTAATAACTGCGACGTCGTGCTTAGTTTACTTACCATATCTTTTTCCCAAAACTCATAATTACTCAATCAATCTTTGAATCATTTAATAGAGTGTTAAAGTAATGTTTACAATAATCGAGCTATTACTTTTCACCGAGATCCGAGATCAAATTGAACTTTTTCCGAGATAGAAATGTTAAATACTGTAACTTTTACTTAAACGTAAATTCAATATTTCTTTAAAATCATTCAAGAAGCCAGGCGCATTTAAAAGGCATAAATAATTTTTGTGGGCCTAACTGGTAGAAATTAAATTTATTTAACGGGAACAATAATAAATGTGCTCAATTAAGGAGGTCTAATTCTTTTTTTTTTAAACCAGCATTTAAATCGGATTTAAGAACATCCTTCATTAGGAGATTTGATGTCCATTAACTTTATGACTTTCGGAATCATGCACAGTTACCATCGATTATGTGTGAATTCAACGTATCATGCCTATAGACACTTCGTTAACGAAAAGATAGCTCTATTGTTTGTCAATTATTGTTAAAGTATCATATATATTTAATAAGTTTGTGTCCATACTTGGCATCCAGAAAATATGGTAAGCTTACATTTAAGCTAAGTTGGTGTGCTGTTTTATGTTAAAACAAATTAATAATGAAAAACATGATCATGAAATAATTAATTGAAGAATATACATTTTAAAATGTATTTTATTGAAAATAATTAGTTAAAAATAATATTGCAGGTAAAATTTATAGTCTAATGAACAATGACCAGATTTTTCTGAGGGTAACCTGTTACCCGGGGTTTGGGGTCCCGTGCCCCCCCCCCCCCCGCCCCCGCGCGCTTCCAAGCCAAAAATGGTTCGTGAAAACTGTCTGAAAGATAACCTGAAGAGCAAAGATTAAATTCATGTGTGTTTTAAAAATAATATTGCAGGTAAAATTTATAGTCTAATGAACAATGACCAGATTTTTCTGAGGGTAACCTGTTACCCGGGGTTTGGGGTCCCGGGCCCCCCCCCCCCCGCCCCCGCGCGCTTCCAAGCCAAAAATGGTTCGTGAAAACTGTCTGAAAGATAACCTGAAGAGCAAAGATTAAATTCATGTGTGTAAATTATATAGTATACTGTATGCTATGGATGTACCGAAACGTTATGTTGTGTTAAATATTTGTAAACAATATCAATAAACTAGTAAAGTTCCAGAAGTGTTTTGTTATTTATTAATACTTTTTGAGTCTGAGATTGAACATGTCACTTTTTAACGTTCATAAAAGGAGAAAAAACAGCTTGTCATTGTGTAATTTACTACTAACAATTGACATGTTGTTAAAAAAATTAACATAATTTGACACAACAGACGTATGTCAGAAACATGAAGGATCAACAAGGGAATTTTAATCATTAATTTCAATAATTAATTTCATAATCATGACACACCAATATTTCTGAAATTAGTAGATAGCTCTCAGGACATCAGGGTTTATGATTTTTATTAAATAATTCCTAAAACGTGTCACATGAATCACTGAAATTGTATTTGACAACCAGCATACGCTTCAATATATCGACTTTTAGTTGCGATTCATCTGGTGTCCACATGTTGTTGTAATCAAAGAAAAGAATATTTCAGTGGGGGGCATATGTCCATGTCAAGGGAAAAGTAAGCAGTTCGTCGGAAATAGCCATAGGTCGGACATTTCCTGACCTATAAAGGACGCCCGGGTAGGTGATGCGCAAATAGGGATTGTCCCGGCTAAAACGGGCCGTCTGGTCACTGTCAACTCCTACAGTCTTCTTGGATTGATTACATTCGTCAAGTTCTTTTCACACGTTGAAGCGTCGTACTATTCCTACTATCATTGAACAAACTCAACTCCTTTTCATAAGAATTAAAACTTTAATGTCTGAGTAAATATAATACACATAACACGAGAATATAGCGCAGCTCGCTATCAGACCTGAAAAATACACATCCTATCACTCCAAAGTTCCACTCAATCTGCCGCACGACTAAAACATACGTCACAATACTGCGTAGACAAAACGTCACGAATCAGCATAAAAATACGTCATAGAGACAATGGCGGGAAGAGCGCTCAATAACTATAAGAGTCAAGCGCGGGAAAAGCGTTCAACAACTAATGAACATAATATTGAGTCGCAAAAATTACTAATGAACGCTCATACTCGACAGTCACAGTACTAATATTCATAAAAATGTTACTTTTACATTCAAAGTATCAATTTCTACATGTTATTTTAAAAATTGACATAAATATCACACTATCAATAGTGAAATATTCAAAGTCTATTTACACACGTTTTTTAAAAAAATTGAAAATAACTTTTTTTTTAAATTGTAGATTTGAATACACTTCTGAAAGAAATATCCCATAAATCCATAAAAGTGTCTCGTTAAGAGCGAAAATTCCCATATGGGTTTTATCTCGGTTTTATTTTGCATCTCGGCAAAAGGCTAGACCCTTACGTGGAACCGTCTGACCCCCACCCCCTTTTGCTATCTTAACTTAAGAGAAATAAGAGACGTAAGTGTATTCTAATATTTGAAATATTATCACGACACAGCCTTAATTAAATAAAGTTGCAAATAATTTTAAAGCTTTTAAAGAAAAATAACCCCTGCACTTGCAGTAGTAGCAAATGTAAATTAATTGTGTCAAATTATTAAATATTATTTAAATGATCTAATTTTAATTAATGAATGTCATATTTTATTATTTGATTTGAATGAATCAATGCTTGACCATTCTCATTCAAGTCAGATTTCAGACCAGGACATTGTTTTGTTATTGTTAAGCTAATTCATAATTTGTAAACCTTCTATGTTACACCCCCCACTTTAAAAAAAAATAAAATAAAGTGGTTTATCCTAAATAATGACATAGACATAAGTATAAGTTTCCCGTTGATTGTTACTGTTAGTTTGTTTGAATAACTAATCATTTAAACACCCTTCTTCAAAGTTCTTAATCTTCAGTTCTTTTTTGAGGCTTGAGGAATCCAAGAATCATAATGAGACAATTAGAATATAGGCTAATGAATACAAAGTATTGGAGCAAAAAATAAAAACACCATCTATGCTCTTGGCTCACACTGAAAAATGATATTTCAACATTCTAAAATATATTTTGTTAAGAGTTAAGTGACTATGACTAAGTCTAAATTAAAAATTTAGAATTTATTAAATCCAAAAGTTCAAGGGGGGCCAAACTATAGTCTATAGTCGATATACCTCACAGCCCCCAAGGCCTTAATCATACAGAACAACTTCATAAGAAGAAAAAATAGGGAGTAATTATAATAATATGAAAATCCATCACTGCCAGTAATATTATGAAAAAACTATCACTCATGCTGGCACTGATGGATTTACGGTATACCATGACCATTAGTATAAGCCAAAATGTTTCCTTTCAGTTAAGCTTTAACATTTGTCTGCTTCTCCTGTGCTCCAAATTTTGTTAGCAGAGTTCTAACTTTTTAAACTCTGATATGCCGCCTTTTGATGACTGCTGCCCTAATTTAAGTTGATGACTTCTGTCATTCTCTTCCTTCATTTTTCTTCCTCACATTTCAGTTAACTGGGTCTCAATAAAAGGCAACATATAGAATTTTATAGAATTTTCCAGTGTTTGAGAATAGTACATTGTAATTCATGATAAAATTATAGTTTTGTCGCACCTTTTATGCCTTCAAAATTCTGTCTTTTTATTGGCATACAAGTGATTGTATTAAGATGCTATTTATGATAAGTAAGCCTATCAAAGGCATTATTTAGCATATTGTCTTTATGGTTTTCTGTTGACTCTACAATTGTAGAATTGGCTCTATCACAAGTGATTTGAAAAAAAAAAAACAAATATAAATTTCTATTTGGCTACGTAAAAATTTATAATTGCATAAATATCTATTTTGGGTTAGGTTTGATTTATTACAATAGTACCCTTTAATTTAAGATTAATATAATTAAGAATGATTAATCTATACAAGTACTAGACATTTTAAAGCAAGATTTAATGATAGTTTGACTTCCCTGTTTTAAGCCAAGTCCTAAATTGTTACTAATTTTTATGCTCTCTCATAGTCAAAGATTCAATCAGTTCTGACTATAAATAAAATCTCCCAGACTCATGATATTTGAAATGGGAATACTGTCAGCTAGGAAGGGTAAGAAATGTACGTAACTGTCTGTTTTTTTATTGAAGTTCACAAGTTCCGTTTGGAAGTTCACAATAATAAAGAACCTTGTTACAAATTTTTAAAATAAATAATTATTTATTTTGAATAAATTCATTTCAATGATTTGACTACTGATATTTAATAATTTAATTATAACAATTTGTGATGAGCCGAATCAGCTTATGTTAGGTATTATTGACTTATTTTGAAAACAGGGCAATAAATTCTAATAACCTAAAACATTTTTAATGTTCAAATTGTATTGTCTTTTTTTTTAATATATGATCTCACTTTTTTACATATTCCAGTGGGTATCTTACTGGCAGTGTTTTGGATTGGAACCCTGTGCTATATCTGGCTCCCAGACCACATTCCAGATTTTCTCAGCTCAAAAACAAAATCAGAAAGTAAAAAATCAATTTATAATTTGAAATAATATTTCACTTTTATTCTTTATATGCATCTGATAGTAAACCATTTCCCAAGAAATTGTATTTTTAAAGATGCTTGCAAAATTTATGATCTAAACTGAGATTACTACTAGCACTGTTAGACACCCTGAAGTACGGTGATGCTAACATCACTCTAATGCTAACATCACTTGCCTTTCACAATTTTTAGTTGTTAATAAATATATTTTTTTACAAGTTTAAAAAATTAACATTGATCCCTTCTTGTAACATTTTTTCTGTATTTACTGCTGTATGATTGTATGTATTATAAGATGTTTTAAAATGTTAGAGCGGATAAGCAAGTATTACATCAATATCATTCTCATTTAATTTACTTTTCAGAAAGTGCTAAGTTACCAAAACTTAACTTGATGCTACATGCTGGAGTAAGTTCCAACACTTCTCAGCTGAGCAATGTAGACTCTAATGAAACTGTTCATGTTTGCATCTCATCTGATCAAAGAACTTTAGGTACACAAATAACCAAATAATTAGTTGTACTGAACTTAGTTATTACATTTTCCAATTTATTTAGTTTTAAAGTAGTCTAATTGACAAACAAAATGTAATTTTATTTCTTTAATTGGTAACTTACAAATATTTTTAGATTAAAAACCATTTAAAACTTATATAAACTTAACTGCCAAGTCATTTACATTATTGAGAGAATTCAGTTAAGATATGTCTTTCTTAAGTTGAATTTATATTAGCTGAGCAGAGGTTTATTTTTTTTAAATATTGAATTAATGATAGTATTTACAAAACTAAATTTAGCATACGCCATATGCAAATAATCACAGTGAAACTTAAGAACAAACAATATTGAAATATTTATAAATATGCTGTTCTTTTTTCTTGTAGTTGCCATTGTAAATGAATTTGAACTTGAAAATGTTACATTATATAGAAGGCTTAGTTCTAGGATTGAATTGTTAAACCTTTTATAACAATCATATATTCTTTTGTCTTTCAGGTGGAATGGTTACATTAATCAATAGTATTGTTTCCAATACAAAGTCTAGAGTCAAATTCCATCTAGTTGTTGATGAAGAAAGTGCTGATCGTGTTAGGTTCGAAAATTTATTTGAAAATATCAAGTTTGTTTTTGTTTTTTTCAACTGTAAAAACATTTGTATTTTGTAATATTACCATACGATTTGTGTTAATGTATTCAGTATCAAAGACATATTTTCATAATTGAAGATAAATTGTTTTAACCTCCATGCTAGTTTTTAATTTTGTATTTTCTAATGGCAAAAAAATGTAAACACCATTGTAATTGTAATTTTGTTATGTAAAAATCATTAAATAATGCATGTAAAAATATTATGATCTGTTAGTTATTATGAGTCTGTGGTACATAGAGCACACATGTTTGGATGAGCTCTATATAATATTTCAATCCTTTGCCTTCTTTTGATGGCATTGATACTGTGGCTATCCATTGTTAAAATATGTATGTTGCTTGTTCCCAGCATTTGGCTCAGGAAGTCCAAGCTTGCTGACATAGATTTCCAGGTTAAAGTATTTCCATTGAACTGGGTTGATGGCAAAATCAAAATCAGAGGTGGGAGAAAGGAACTGGGCAGTCCTGTAAGTTTTTTTGGGGCGGGGGTTTTGTTTTGATTTCAACTATTCAAGAATATACATCGCAACAACAAATTTTAATTTGTAATAATACAATTTTTTTAAAGATTTGTGTTTAAATTTGTTGAGCTAAGCATTGTTTAGAAAATAAAAAAATTAAGTTCAAATATTCTTCCACTTTTAAACAAGAGTTAAATTGACTCCAATGAGACTATATAATGCTCAAGTTTTTTATTTTGAATTATCTTTTGTTTCTTGTTTTGTATTGTCCTTTTATTCGTCCTGTCTTTTCATTTCCAACCTAAACATATCTTGTTCAATTAATTCCTTCACATGGCCACTCATATATATTATCAACGTTTCTCCTCTCTATAAGCTTATTTTTTTTATTTTTTTAAAAACTGTCAGTGATGCTAATTTCTTTTAATATTTAATTTCTTGCAGTTAAACTATGCTCGTTACTATTTACCAAGACTTTTTCCACAACTAAAAGAAAGAATTGTATTTATAGATGATGACTGCATTGTACAAGGTAATTAAATTATGGATGCGTTTATATTATCACATTGAGCAACTATATGACAAATGGCTAACATCTTAAATCTTCGTAATTTGTTTTATTCTTCCATAAAGTGAAATCATTGAATGTATGCAGTTGCCTATTCTCATTACCCCCCCCCCCCCAAATACTTTACTGCTAGCAAATACTAGAAAACTGACAATTGTGATTATGATGTCATACATTTTTGTGTTGTTTTTTTTTTTACTTAAATTTTATTATGTTTTATGTTACTAAAAATTCTGAACTGGGTCAGACAGAAAATGAAATGTATTTGAAAAAGGGTGTTAATAAAAAGTAAATATTTGAAACTGGTTTTCAACGAGGGTGCTAAATAAAAAGAAAATAATTGAAACTGTCTTTAAACAAGGGTGCTAGAAAAAAAAGAAAATAATTGAAACTGTCTTTGAACAAGGGTGCTAGATAAATAGAAAACATTTTAACCTGTTTTGAACAGCTTACTTACTTGTACCTTTTACATTCATCTCAGTGCCTTCCTTTCCAGTTGCTTCCAGATGTACCCCATACTTTTTGTGTCTGCCTCCAGCTCACATCTCTTTGTTTTCTTAAGCCTTCCTCTCTTTCTTTTTCCCTGTGGATTTTATGTTAAGTGTTGTCTGGTGATGTTATTTGGGGTTTATGAAGAGTGTACCCTATCCACCTCCATCTTTTCCTTATGATGTCTTCAGCAATAGGCTTCTGGTATGTCCTTTAGTAAGTATTTGTTGGTGATGGTGTTTGGCCATTTGATGTTCAGGATCTTTCTAAGGCAAGTGTTTATGAAGGTCTTTACTTACTGCTCGCCACCTTCATGATCTTTGTCTTGCTTTTATAATTTATTTATATTGAGTCTCAGCTCTGCTGAAATGGTGGCTTTATCTTTAGCCTTTTTCTGACTTTGTTGCTGGTTGTGGGTCAGACAGAATTTCAATGTCATTTGAAAGTTTAGGTCATTCATTTATGACAAGGGTGTCCACTGTATCCTGTTCTTCTTTTTGTATGTGGATATTTTCATTATCTGGTCAATTGCAAGGATGAATTGAAAGAGACATCCTTATCTAACTCCTTTTTCCACTTTAAAGGCATCTGTGAGTCTACCTTCAGGTACCACCGGCATGTTATTTCTTCAAAAGAACTCTGAATGATCCTGACTAGTTTTCCTGGTACCCCATAATGCAGCAGAATTTTCCACAAGGTTTTTCGGTCTAGGCTATCAAAGCCTTTTTGTAATCATTAAAATTTAGGTGGGGTGTGTGTGTGTGTTTCCATTCGATGAACTGTTCTATAATGATTATAGTGTTTCAATTTGATCTGGCATGATCTGTTTCAGCTGCAGCCAGCCTGTTGATCTTGTAGCTGGGTGTCGAACTGGTCCTTCATTCTATTCAAAATAATTCTCTTAAAGACCTCTCTTAGTACAGACACCAGTGTAATTCCACTGTAGTTCACACAGTTTTTTTTAATCAAGGCTGCTAAATAAAACAAAATATTTAAAACTGTCTCTGTCATTCTAAACTGAAAATGGATGTGCCAGGGGAGTTGATCTTAAAAAAATACAATGACAATATTGGAAGTTATTGTGGCATTAAAAATGTTGGTTATTTTACGTCACAATTTCTTAGAATTGGCAAAAACAGGTCAAAATTGTATACCTATCAGCTAGCTTAATGTGTTTCATAAAGAAAAACCTTATATATTTTTTTATAGGGGATATAAAGGAATTATACGAGACACCCATAAAGGAAGGTCATTGGGCAGCTTTCTCTGAGGATTGTGGAGGAATCAATAAAAGACTGACAAGACTTAGTGTAAGTTGTTGACAGGACTTAGTGTAAAATGTTGGTATTATATGATAATGATGTCGTACTTTTTAAATTATGTTATGTTCTTATCTTTTAAAAAAGAGAATCTGTGAAAATAGTTTTAAAAATATTGATGGAACTTGGTCATAATACCAGACACTTTTGTGTAGTCATTGGAGAAACTAAAGTTGATGAGAGCCAATGATTTCATTCATAATTTGCTATTTATTTATTTACAGGTTATATAAAACTGGATGATAATCTCAATAAAGAAAATATCCCCTTAAAAAACAAATATTTGTTCATTTAACCCAAATATTAATATAAATAACCCATATTTTGTTCCCCAGAATGTCTATGCAGAGTTTCTTGATTTTAAAAACGAACATGTGCAGAAGTTGGCCTTGAAGCCCACGGCATGTTCTTTTAACACGGGTGTTTTTGTGTCTGACCTGTCAGTCTGGCAAAAAAACAACATCACCACCCAGCTGGAGTACTGGATGGAGCTAAACACCAAGTCAGTGGACAATTAGGAGATAGTTTTATCAAGATTTATTAGGGATCTCATGCTGAACATTTTTTGTCTTTTTCTTATTGACTGATGAACAAGTTTCTAAAGAAAGCTTTTTGGTTTTATGGACTGTGGGCTTTGTTCCTAATGAGAATTTTAACAAATAACTGACATTAAGTCAAGATTCTAAATGTTGGGGAATAAGTACTCAATGACAAGAATGTAATAATTACGATTAATAGTCACTGAAATTTTGAAACTTATTTATGCTTTTATCAGACCTGTTTACTCTTACGATTTTGGTATACAAAGTATGATTTTTAGGTGTCTACATGTTTATTTTTGTACTATTAAGATAGTGTATTGAACGATTTTGTGATAATATTGTACGATTTTAAGAGTCTGAGGGTAAACAGGTCTGTTTTATTATTTAATCGTTAGTTCTGGGCATTTATCATGTTTAAAGAAAAGTTGTCTTACTTCATAATCTTAAGCCTATTAAAAATGGTGATGGGAATCTTTTATACACTCATCTTTGTTAACACCAATTTCTCAGCAGTTTATTTTTTAATTTTCTTTTATCTTGAATAGAGAAGAGGTTTACGGCAATGAGAGAGGAGGTGGAGGTTCCCAACCCCCTATGATGATTGTATTTTATAACAAATATTCTCCCATTGATCTAATGTGGCATGTCCGACAACTGGGTAAGTTTTTTAATGTGACAGCTCTAAGACAATGTAGACGTTTAGATAAAACCTATCTCTGCCTAAAGGAAATTAGCCCCAACCTATCTCTGCCTGAAGGAAATTAGCCCCAACCTATCTCTGCCTAAAGGAAATAGCTGCAACCTATCTCTGCCTAAAGGAAATTAGCCCCAACCTATCTCTGCCTAAAGGGAATAGCTGCAACCAATCTCTGCCTAAAGGGAATAGCTGCAACCAATCTCTGCCTAAAGGAAATAGCTGCAACCTATCTCTGCCTAAAGGAAATAGTTGCAACCTATCTCGGCCTAAAGTGAATAGCTGCAACCTATCTCGGCCTAAAGTGAATAGCTGCAACCAATCTCTGCCTAAAGGAAATAGCTGCAACTTATCTCTGCCTAAAGGAAATAGTTGCAACCTATCTCGGCCTAAAGTGAATAGCTGCAACCTATCTCTGCCTAAAGGGAATAGCTGAAACCTATCTCTGCCTAAAGGGAATAGCTGCAACCTATCTCTGCCTAAAGGAAATAGCTGCAACCTATCTCTGCCTAAAGGGAATAGCTGCAACCTATCTCTGCCTAAAGGAAATAGCTGCAACCTATCTCTGCCTGAAGGGAATAGCTGCAACCTATCTCTGCCTGAAGGGAATAGCTGCAACCTATCTCTGCCTAAAGGAAATAGCTGCAACCTTTCTCTGCCTAAAGGAAATAGCTGCAACCTATCTCTGCCTAAAGGAAATAGCTGCAACCTATCTCTGCCTAAAGGAAATAGCTGCAACCTATCTATGCCTAAAGGAAATAACTGCAAGCAGCTCACTCTGGTTATTGGTTTAAGGGTTATGAAATTGATTAAGTGTTTATGCCCCATAGTAAATCAATCTGCTGCCTAATATTGATATATTGAATATTTATATTAGTATTAGCTGTTTGCAAAATATCACATTTATTAATTATCAGTAATTCATGCAATAAATTCATTTGTAATTTTTTAGGGGCCACTGCAGGCTCATCTTACAGCAAGTCTTTTATACAGAAAGCCAAATTGCTGCATTGGAACGGCCCACTGAAACCATGGAATCGTATTGCCCAGCACAGTTATGCCTGGGATAAATATTTTGTTCCAGAGCCAAGCGCACAGTTCAAGGTCTTGAGGAGAACATAAAGGAATGGCATCTTATTTCAAACGTCTGCTTTTAACCTTGAGCTGAAATCAAAGTCTTAAGCATGGAGCATTTAGAAGTTGAATTATATTTAAACTTTATCAGCAGGTTCCTGATTTGAAAATTGTTTTTAATAATAGAGATCTATCAAATATGTCATACGGCAACAAAATGGCTCTAAGGATGTGATTTTTGTTTTCAGCCAAACAATAAACTGTTGTTACCAAATGCAGCCTATTCAAAAATTTCATTTGCCAGAAAATTAGTGCTAGTTGAATCGGCAGTATTAACTCTGACTTCTCTTTGGTGTTGCCAAAATTCAAGGCCAATTTTTGACATGGACATAAGGCTATTTTTTTTTTAAACCTCGAAGATATTAAACCGGCACATTAAAGATTTTGCAGCAAGGTATTAAAAATGATTAGATTCTTCACTTAATTCAATTTTTTTCCTGTGGGTTCATCTTTTTCTGTTATAATTTTGATTTTGTAAAATCTTCAGCTTGTCATAAAAATTGCTTTCATTACATTTGTATGTCTGATCCTTCTATGATTATTTGAATTGAAATATTGGCCAGTATTTTGTATAGTTTCTGATCAAATGTGATGACTTTTTTTTTGTTGTTATTTCATGTCAATATTGCTATTGTTTTGTGCCATTTTCTCTAACATTTTGTAAGTCATAAAGGCAATAATATATCTTTTAAATTTCTTAACAACCTACATTTTTTTTCAAGGCAAGCATAAGGTGATTCTAAGCTTTTCTAATATTCCTATGCTTAGATGTTTTTATGTATTTTTAATCCAATTTTTAATTGCATTATATCCTTTCGTTTTGATGTTTTCAACAAACTCTATCTAAGCTAACATTAAAACATAACTAGATGTAGAAACCAATTGTTTCCCCAACACATTACATAGTTTGGGATGATTTCTGTTTATTGATCACTGATGAACAACACAGTTCATTATAGCTTTATGTTACAAAATGTGTCTTTTTTTTTATTTTCACTGTCAATGCTACATTGTTTAATATATGCTCAACAACCAACCTCAGTTTAAATTCAAAAGAATCAACTCCTTTATATTTGTCTTAGCCTCTGCTCTTTCTCTTTAAAATACGGCAGGGAAACCTTTTTCCTCACTTGAGTGGAAATGCATTTAGTCTTTTAACATAAAATCTTTATTATTAACATTTCAACAAAAGACAAGGGCTAAGACAAGTGTATTAATTTACATACATAAAGATATCTTGTTGAGGTTTTTTTTAGTTTAGCCGTTAATTCAAAACTAATAATCATAAGAACTAAGTTTTAAAAAGTGTATTTTATTTAAACAACCTGGTTTATGTTACATGTCACATTTACATTCTTGATCTAATTAAATCAATCTGAAACAAACACAGTACAGTTAAATCATGTCTACATCTTCATGCCATGGAAGAACAAAATTATCCAGATGTAGAATTTGAAATTTTAACCAATTATGAATTTCACCAGTCTAATGGTTTAATTGGTTACTAAAAGTTTTATGTAAATTTTCTTATTATAAACTTTATTTCTGTTTTAAAATAATAATGTGTTTTTTTTTTAATTTTTAAGATGTCTGAAGTGAGCTGAAGCTGCAGCTTTGAAAACATTTAAAAATTAAACTTCTTAAGTGATACTATTGCAAAAATTTAAATTCTTGCATGTTGCACTACAAACAGGCACTAAAATCTGATAGCTGGGTTGAATTCTCATTCTCATGTACCCAACTTTTTGGTGATATTTAAATGGTGCTATTTCAGTATGACTAAATATAATAAATATATTATTTGTTTTTTTTTTTGCATATTTTTTAACACATTTGTTGTGTTTACTAATATGAAACAATAAGATAACAATAACTTCTCTTTATTTTTGTGTGCAATCTTGGAATGATAAAACACCATTATGCTTTGATGTTTATTACTTTTAATACATTGGTTAAAAGCCGGTGTGCTTCGATGTGTGTTGCAAACACATTGGTTAAAGCTGGTGGGCTTCGATGTATGTTGGCTATCACATTGGTTAAAAGCTGGTGTGCTGATGTATGTTGCTATTGCTATGTGATTTGATATATTTTGCTTGTACATTGGTTTTAAAAAAACTTTGTTGATTTAGGGTGAAGTTTTATTAAAGTAAAGACTAAACAAAGTGATGTGGATAGTTTAAATGTAAACCCTTCTTCCACAGACAAAACATTTATATTCAGTATTGTATGTTAAGAGAAACACTTAAACCTATGATATTATAACATAATGTAATTTAGTAATAATACTAAAAAATTAATGTAAACACAAAAATAATTATGTGGGATGGTAAAAGAATGTATCATTTCATATAATCTGGTGGTTGGGAATTCGCCCCAAGCTGTGAGGCCTGCTGAAAGTTCATGTTGACTTTGATGGTATCCTTAACACAGTCGATCTCATTGACCCCTGTCCAGCCAGTATTTCCATTTTGATCCATCCATTTTCTTCTCATTTTATTTCTTAAGCATTCATTATATATTCACTATTGTCTTGTTAGCTTTGTCACAGATTCAGAATACTAGGCCTGTCACAACTTCAACTTCTATTTGAGGATTAATTTAATTTGAGTTGTCAAGACATCTTGCGGCTAATTGATGAGCAGACTTGAGACATTAACTCATTAAGGCATCAAACTCCTTCATAATTTCACATTACTGATTGTTGGCATTTCACATCACTTCCTTGGATGTCTTGGAGTAAGGTGGTTTTTTTTTTATAATGTAATATCATAGGTTTAAGTATTTCTCTTACTGAATATCATTCTATTTATAAATTATTTGGTTCCTCACTTTGTCTTAAATAAACCGTTTTTTTAAATTTTAATCCATTTGAGCTTCATGGTATACAAACCACCTTCAAATTGCTGTGGCATTGCCAGATTTACAGGGCAATGGAACATGCATTTTAGGGTAATTATAATTTTCTACAATTGTTAAAATATTAAGACTTTATAAAACTCTTTTGTGAACTGTCTTGCTTATTCTAGTCTCTAATGAACAAAAATTATTACAAGTTTAGTGAAAACTAAATACTCTTAATCATTGACCCAAGCAGTGGCGTAGCAAGGTTTGGAGTCATAAAACACCACCCCTCCCCCCCCCTCCCCCCAACATAGGATGGATATCTCCTACCTATAATAAGTCCACGGTATAACAATGACAAGAACAAAAAGGGTCAGGGGGTAAATGTACTTAAGAACTGTAATAACATTAAGTTATAGTTATTTTTACATTATTTAAAACTTTCCTTTCCTGTTCTTCAAAGCTGCAAACCTGTCAATCATGCTTAAATGTAAAGGTGGGGTGCTAGTGAAGAAAATATTAATTTTGGAGTATTTCTGGATTTCAAAAACCTTTTTTTTTTTTAAATTGAAATGAATTATTGAAAGATATTAGAAAATTTTGTAAAAAATTAATTTGTTTACCCTATAAATGGGTAAAAAACCTAATTATAGGGTATCCTCAGTGCTGACGCATCAACCTTCAACTTTTTATAAAGCACGAAATGGATTTTCATGAAATTCGGTAAGACTGAGCAGTGTGTGCTCTGTATATATGCAATTTTTCAATTTGGTGTCACCCCTCTGAGATGGTGTCACCCGGTGTGGCTCGCAACCCCAACCCCCTGCTACGCCACAGGACTGGAGTACTGTGAATGGTTGTTTGAAATTTGTCATCATTTTTATCTGGCAGTAAAATTGAAAACTAATGTGAGAAAGCAAATGTTGATTGTCTTATATAAACATCACAACTTCCATTATTTGCATTGCATTTGAAATGCTCTATTGCATGTCTTATTTTTTATTAATATTCTAAAAATTATGAAGAAAATAAAACATTTTTTAGAAAACTTGTAAAAGTATTATTTTTTTCATTGTGTATTTCTAAAGTGGTAAAAGTGACAAATTATTTTTGTTGTAAATTATTTTATGAATTTTCATGTCAAAAAAAATTTGTGCAGTTGTCAGTCACAATCAGGTTTTATGGTGACTTGGTTCCACTTAAATATGACAAGAATAAGCTATTATTTTACTCTAAAAGTAATTAACATTTTAATATACCCTGTTAACTGTAATTTGTTAAAAATACTAAAAGCTGATAACGATTTTAACAAATATTTAATTCCAAGCACAAGTTCAAAACACACACACATAAACACAAGCCATCTAATCTTGTCACCAACAAGTTGAGCTTTTCAAAACAAAAAAAAAAATAAAGGAACAGAATAACAATATTGTCTTCCGAGTCAGATCCAGAAATAGACTCCAGTTGAACTGGTTTGATCTACATCCTTCATTAGCAAAAGACTGGCTACACTGAAGCCTAGAGAAAACAGTAAAGAATTTAAAAGGAACAATTCAAAACTTTTAGTGAGAGAGAATGGTTAAAAAATGACTTCTTTCAAAGGTGATTCAGCACAAGAAGGTCACGTTCTTAAGAAAAATTTGACCTAGTGTCAAATTTAATTTTGCCTGAGATACTATTTTATAACCTGTGAAAAAATTAATAACTGTTCTGAGACCTATTTTGTAATGACTTTCAAGAGATGATCAACTGTAGGACGATCACTTGAGTACTTGCTTCTGTACACCATTTTTAGAACACCTTGTTTATCTAATATAAAGTCACCTCCCATCTGAAGATAGAGCATCATTTATTGGAACTCTGTAAGATTATATGATCATGTTAAAGTGCACAAGCACCAATTCATTTTTTTTTTAAAATAAGTTAAAATAATACCAAAAATCATTTAAAAATTCATCAGGACGAGTTAGGAAGAGTGAAAAATTAATAGCAAAATAATACTAAGGCATTAGCATTTACTAATTAAGTTTAAGCATTTCACATAATAAGTTCTCACCTGTTGAGGATCATCATGTATATTTTCCATTGGTTTAGGCAGGTCTCTCCCTAACAAAAGCTGCTCTGTATAGTAAACCATGCATGAAATACTCCACACCTGATATTCAAAACAACAAATAAACCATAACTCAATTTACATTAATCATTTCACACACAAAAATATATCAAACCCTTATAACTCTTTGGCAATGCATTGTAATGAATTAGCGAACAGAAATTAACATTGATATTTATAGACTACCTCTTAAGAGCGATATAAAATCCCATGGGAAGATAAGTTAAATTTCTTAATAAGTTAATCTCCAAGGAACAGATGTACTTGAAGAAAACTGATGTCATTAAATGATAAAGCAGTGAAGAGTTCTACGTTGCTGGTGGACTTCTAAATCTGACTGAAATTCCCTTACAAATTCAGTATAATTCATCTTTCAAACTTGTAACATGTTTTGGCTTCTCTGAATTTGCTATGCTATCAATGAGCAACGCTTGCCTTTAGGGTGTGCGACCCGTGCACAGGGCACCGAGGCCATAGGGGCGCCCCGTAAATATTTAAATTCCCTTAGTTTATTATAGTTAATTAAGTGTGAACCTTGAGTCCGGGGTCAAGAAACGGTATTCTAACTTTTCGTACAATCGCTTTTCATACAATGAGTTTTCATGTAATGAAAGTTGCATTCTTAATTTGGATACTAACACTGGGGTTGAGACCAACCGAAAGGGCGTGGAAATAAAATTATTAATACTGATTTCCTTATGCCTCTTACAATTATTTCAGCAGAAAGAATATGGGGAACAAAAAGTTTTCCGGGGCGCAAAGGGAGCAGATTATGGACGACCCAAAAGGTGGTATGGAAATGGAACAAAGAACCGTAGAAAAACTTAACAGTCTAAATTAATGTGCATGTTAAAATGCATATGGTTAGCTACTTGTATAGGATCATAACACATGCTCCAAGGCCTATGTTGTAACTGAAAAAAGAGCAGAGCCATACAAGGACAGGGAAGGGGCCGCCGAACGGGTGCTTCGCACAAGGCGAAAGTTTACCTAAGGCCGGCTTTGCAATGAGTAGCACCGACAAAATGCATCTAAATAAACTTAACTCTGGAAATATCCTTAAGACAGTTTCCATAGAAGTTGCTTTATTTCAAATAGATATTGGTAAAATTGCTCCAGAATTGATTTGTTTTTTTAAACTACTTACTTTGGACACAGATCTCTGCAGACCCAAAGCTTTGTATATCTGTTCAAGAAATAAAAACATCTCTAGAGTTTATGACAATTTTTACCAGGAGAATGTATTTTTGTGCTTAATTTGAAATCAGTGACCACTTTCTTTTTAAAGACTTTCTCTCTACTATCATTTCCATCTTGTGTTGGAGCTCTATTTTTTTTTTGTTTACACACTTGACATTTTAAGATATTTTGTGCCGTTTTCCCCTGGTGAACGACTGGACAACGGAAGCAAGTTGACACTGCCACTGTCACTCAAATTATAATGGTTGACCACTTCTGCTTCACTAAGTGAACAGGCGGATGGGTGAGCTCACAACTACTTTTTAGTTTTAGGCAAAGAGTTAAGTCACTTTAACCTGGATTTTGTAAGCATCCGTGTTTAAAAAAGTAAATAGTTCTATTTTTGTAGATAATTTAAAAATTAAAATTTTAATACTAAAAAGAAGAAAAAAAAATATTTAACCATCTTTTAAAAAGAGACTTTATATCAAAAATGAGTTAAAGCGCACTATAAAGTAGATAATAATTTTAAATTTCTTAAAATGCATAATGCAAAGAAATTTGGTGCAAAAAATATTTTTTTAAATTAATAAAAATAATACACATGTAAATTTTGTCTACATTCAATTCGAATCCTTTAGCTTCATAGAGTGCTCATCTACACGTTTGCATTCTTTCTTTGCACTTTAATGCAAGAAATTTTAATTTATTTTCTACTTTTCAGAGCATCTTCCCTTGTCTTTGATAAAAAGTTGTTTTTTTAAACATTTTTTTTTTGTACAAGTATATGTTCTTATAAGCAAGTACTCACATTTCTTTCAGAGTCCAACACCATGTCATAAGGACATTTTGTTTCCTTTAGCCAATTCTCAGCCCCTCGTTCTTCTCCAAAAGATACTATCAATATTTTCATTTCAGCTTGTGTGAACTCTTCCTAATTAATGATATTAAAAAATGCCTAGTTGTTTTGAATAAAAGTTTTGGAAATTTAAGGTCTTTGAATACTAAAATAGAGATTTGTGATGAAACATAACGAGTGCTAAAGTTGAAATACTTTTTAAAAAAGTTAAATGCAATGAATTATTTCAAAATAAAAATACTGACAAAGAGTACATGGTAAAAAAGATACATTTAAAACTGTTACCTCTCTTTGGACTATTGCATGCAAATGATCTCGTCAGGGTAATCAAGCAAAGTGTCGGAGTAAAATCATGGCAATGAATTTCGTATCCTCTAAGTATGATTTTATGCTAGATTCGACTTTAGATCTTGCGTTAATCACAGACAGGGATAATGGCAATGTGTCCCCTACTTCTAAAGGGATGGCATCAGGAGAAGACAGGGTTTTATCGACATCTTTCAAGAGATCATCCCATTCTCTCTGAAAGACAAAGAAACTTATAGATTTAATATAAAAATTCTATAAGAAGTTAACAAATTTTTAACTATTTATGTAACTGTTAATTATTTATAGCTTACTAGCATTGAAATATGTATTTCCTTAAAACCCTAGAAAAGTCTATTTGCATTTTAATCTGTTCAAAATGTTAAGTGATTGATTTCATTTAAAGGATGAAGAAAGCGAATTGTTACAATAACATATATCTTTTTCATTTCAAAAGCAAATGTTAAAAAGATTTAGCTCATACCTCATTCTGAATAAGCTCATCAAATTCCTCACGTACAAATTGATCCCTAATGATAAAAGACATAACAAATCTACAACTATGAGAAGTTTCAAATTAATAAACTCTTAAATTTATCTCTTAAATAATTAAGTACTTTTATATAATTTATTTTCAATCCTCCTAAACACGGTTAATTTAAATGGAGACCAAAGCAATGAATGTTCAATGGGAAAACTAAGAAATTTGTACCTAAAATAATGACTAGCTTTTTTTTCAAATTCAGCTTTTGTTTTCACGTTTAACCTGAAAAATAAGATGTATTTTATTAGGCCTAAATATTAATTTGTAAAGCAGGATAATAATTTATACACAACCTTAACAAAAGATGAAAATGATTTTATAAATATTATCAGCAAATTTCCTATGTAAGGTTAAAATAGATAGAAAAATTAATACAAAATAACTTATCCCTTTTTAGGCATAAAATTAAATGTGTGAAATACCACTATCACTTACCCCTCAAAAGCTTTTTTGTAGACTGGAACAATTTGAAAAAGTCGCCCAATTTGTTTTGCAACAAAATCATCGACACTGTCTTCAAATAAATATAAATAAATAATTATTTTAAGCCCCACAAAAGAAGGTTTAAATAAGTTAAGATAAATAAAACATTAGGATTCAATAGATATAAGTCATAATAAGTATACATAGAGTGTTTCAAAAGATCACATTTGTTGGTTGAGTTTTATCGCTATTCATTACAAATGTATACATTTCACCTATTTAAAATTAATGTTGTGATAAATCAATGATTTTCTAGGCTGCCATATTTATTAAAATGTTGACCTTCAACTCAACACATAATTATGATACTCTTCCTTTTGTAACAGAGACATGTTTTGTTGGTCAAGTAAGTAAACAATAACAAGGAATTTTTAAACAGGCACTGGCCTAAGAAAGGTAGGGCGGTCTGCCTTGGCCAGCATATTAAGAAAAACAGCATTTTCTACTCGCCAGCACTAACCCTCACTATGCCACTGTATATAGGCCAAAAATAGAAAATAATTAAAAGTGTACAATATTAAATAGAGCCTAATGGCTAACAATAATTTAATATTTAAAAGGGGCCTACTGATGTAATGTCTCGGCCAAGGTGGCCTTCGGCTATATTTTAAAAATACAAAAAGTATCTAAAATAACTTTGAATGTAAAATAACATATTAAAATATAACCGATTTGAGTAACAATTCATACCTTGAATATTTTCTCGGGCTTGGCTAATAATATGCCACATTTTATCAGATATGTCTTTATAAGTATCTAAAAGAATTTGCTTTTCATCTTTACACACACAGTCACAGTCTTTGTTAATATATGTTGAGGTGCTAGAACTCATGATTATCTTGAAGTAACTTGTGTGATGTACAATCACAATGTCAATATACTGATGTAGGCATGATGGTCTGTGGGCTTTTTAAAATTAATTAAATGATACATTATATTTTATTGATGTAAATGTATTGTAATTCAAATTATACTTCTGACTTAACCACATATTCATCATTCAGCTCACCTATGCTACAATCCTAACCCTATTATTATTACCCCTAAACCTAACTAACACTATCCCTAAAAAATAAATCTGAACCTACACCGTTAGTACTTAGTACACCTATCCCGAAAATGAACAAAGTATTAGTAGTAGTAGGGTAGGGTGACCAAACGTCCCGTGAAAACGGGATTGTCCCGTTTTTTCACGATCATACCAGTGTCCCAAAAAAGTCTCTCGGGATGCCTAAAAATGTCCCGTTTCTAAAACCAAAAACATTTTCACATATATATATATTAGATAAGAAGGAGGTTTTAACAATGCCTGGGACAACAGCCAAATATCCTCAATTTAAATCCTAGACTAGAGAAATTTAATTTGTTGTGTTGTTTTATGTTGTATAATATGTATAAATAATTAAGTATTCACTGCACAATTAGGCTAAAACCGAGGACGGCTACCACGGCGTCTTTTGTGTCTTTATTATAGTTGCAGTGAATTAGGGTTTAGGTTAGGTTTAGGGATCGATTTAGGGTTCAGGTTAGGCATGCAAGCATAGGGATCGATTTAGGGTTCAAGTTAGGGATAGGGATCGATTTAGGGATACATTCGTGAAATTCGATAAAAAAAGTGGCAGGCGTCCCCATTTTTAACCCAAAATTATTGTTTTCTTTTACGATAAGCCTCAGAGTTTAAATTAAAAAACTTAAGTGAAGGTAAATTTTAAAATATTTCTAGTCTAGGTATCAAAATAGTTCAAACTAGCATATTTCAATAAACAGCCGGACCCCTCTTTAGCTGGAGGGTATCCACCCCACCCCCCTCAACAACCCTCCTTGGGTCTGTCCCGTTTTTTCACAGTTCATGATTTGGTCACCCTATAGTAGGGTAATCAATGTAGTAATAGAAAGTTAGTAGTAATCCCTTATAATTTTAATGTGTTTTATTATTTCTACAGAAATAAACTGTAGACTACAGTCTACAACGTAGTAGTCCTAGACCCAACCCTCTAAACCAGCGGTTCTCAACCTGTGGGTCGCGACTCCTTTGGGGTCGCGGGCCCCTTTCCAGGGGTCACCTAAGACCATCTTAAAACATATATCCTTACAGCTATGAAATAGCAACAAAAATAATTGTGTGGCTGGGGGGTCGCCACGACACAAAAAAAATGTATTAAGGGGGTCGCGGCACTAGAAAGGTTGAGAGCCACTGCTCTAAACTATTCCTAAACATAAACATACATTTAATTGCATTAGTAAGTATTAGTTCAATTCTTAAAAAATAATTTTTGGTATACTTTAAAAGCTTAAAAGGGTATACCGCGTAAAAGTAGGGAAAATAATGGAGATATATGAAATATTTTATTCGTACAGTACAGTCATGTGTTCGACAATTTCACATATGGAAACCAAGTGACACACCTCTGTCACTATTAACACTTGCGTCTCTGATTTCTATAAAGGAAGAGTTCCTTATTGCCAGAATTAACTGTAAAATACATGTAATTTTAAAAAAATTTAAAGTAATTTAAGACATTTAAAAGCTTATCTTTATAACACAAGAAATATGCATATATTTAAAATTAACAAAATTTACTATTAAAATAAATAAATTTGCTTAATTTATTACAGCTTATTAAATGTATTTTACTTTTTTAAAATCTAATGATAAAAAATCTGTTTTTTTAATTATTTTTTTTAAAGAGTTATGTCCCCTGTTATCAACAACTTAAAGCGAACTTAAAGCGTGTTGGCAGCTGGTGTTTACTGTATTTAGTTTTTGCCCAGTTATTTCAAATTTCACAAAATGGTAAGTTAAATAACCGTAAGAATATTCCAGATAGTCTACCTTATATTCATTATCAATTTATTGCACCATAAATCGCTCTTGAGTCGTAAAATTAAACTAATACCGAAGTTAGTTGTTAGTGTGAATTAATTAACGATACTATGACTATGATTAGATACTTTGGTCAAAAATGTAAACATTTTTTAAAAATAAACCAATGGCACAGTTGAATAGAGCTAATTTTAAACTGAATTATAACACCAACATCATATTTTTAGCTGTTGTAGTTTTAAAGTTATGAATTTTTAAAGTACGACTTGGTTTGTCATTTTTTAACATGGACTGCATCTCCACATTCTGTGACCTCATTCCACTGATCGCATCATGCGCAATGACTATATAGTTTATATAAGGCAACGCATTCCCCATCACTAAAATACTGTTTAGGGTCGACTTATTTTAAACTTTCAACTTTGGCACATGAATAATTAATAAAAGCTTTCCCTGACCAATGGTTTAATAGCTTTTGCACACGGCAAACTCTTATGAATGAAACTCTGAGATAGTACTACGACGTAGCCGTTATGCAAGTGGCTGTGAATGGTTGCCAATGACAACGTGTTGCACAGGGAAAATTCTGATCATTTATATTATGGACTCTGCAGGGTTTTTAAAGCTCAAATTAAAACATTTCCAGTTTAAATGTCTTCAAAATGCATTCTGAAACACAAAATATAAAATATTTTGATGTATATAGTGGTAATAATTAAATATTTCCTAAGTATCGGCAACTTCCGCCATTAAAAAGGGGGCGTGGCCCACGCCATGTCGAAATTAGGCTGAGCCACCTTATGGTGATATGGGTCACTGTGACAAGTGTAACAAACGTGAGACACGACCTACATCAATGAAACTTGGCACAGATATAGATCAATATCTAATGCTCATACAGATTTAATAAAAAAGGACCTTATCTTATTATTTCACAAAAAATTTTGTATGCGAAGATGCCTTATATATACCAAAGATTTTCAAAATAAAGGTCGATTGAAAAAAGCAAAATAGCTGGCTAGAAATGTAGGCCAAGATGTCTTCCAAATTATAAGGCCGGAAACGGAACTCAAATATATGTGGAAAGAACTAATTTAATAATAAATATACACACACATCGGAAAATTAAAAACTCGGATTTTTCTGCGCCGACGCCCATTTCCGATACAAAAAAAAATATTAGTCTTCCTTGTTTCATCGAAGTATCTACTATGATTATGATACAATAAAATAAATAAATTTAGAAAGTGAAGTGTCAGTTTTGTCTTAATTCAAGACTCGCAAGCAATGGAAATTATACGTATTCGAATGCTTCAGTTCAGTTAAATTTAAAGTTAATTTTAGTGTGAAATTTTATTACTATTATCCCCTCCTGGTGTACCTCCCACCTCGATTTGCCAGTAGACATAGAATAAATGAGACTTTTCTGAACTTTTCAATACCCACCCCTAAAAATCTACTTGTTTCCAAATACTTTGGGAGCCATATAAATTGTAGGGCGAAACGCGCCCAAGGCCAATGACAATGCTAATGCCATGCATATAACAGGATTGCGTAGTATGCAAAGCATAATTTGCTGTGGGTAAAGCACAGTTTTTCTGTCCACACATGTTAGGGATGAATCATTGAATGTAGCCTTAGCCGCAACAAAAAATGCCAATCAACAAAACTTATTGCTGGGTGAATAATTGAGTGCAGCAACTTTATTGTTAGCTATCACTCAGATGCAAGAAATAAAAATTTGAAGAGAGGAGAACAAAGCAGTTTTGTACCTGGGCATCACAATTACAGATATTTATCACATATTTCAATAGATTTATTTATAATCTAAGTCTAATGACAACGGCATGTTGTCTGCAAGAGGGTGAATACCGGAAATCTTGATTTTTGTGCAATACTCACCCACATCTTGTCACTTTGTAAATTATATAATAAAAAGAGCTTCATTTGTTCATTCATGGGTTGCTGACCACTGGTTTAACTGAACATAATTACTTCACACACTTGGATTAAATAATTAAATATTAATTATTAAAAAATTATCTGATTTAATCAGCTATTGTTCATAAAACAGACATCACATAGATTTCTTAGATTGACGATGTCATTGTGGATCTAATTCTATTATTTTCACAAAGGGCAAAGACAAAAGAACCAAGAAATTTGCCCAAGTTAAAAGGCTCCTAAGTTTGAAGGATTCAAGGCTGTGAGTATAGTATTCCATATTCCTTAAATAATTTAACTCTTTGAGTAAAGTATTCCATATTCATTAAATAATTTAACCATCATTATACTAACATCTTGAGTGCATCATTAGTAATAGGCTTTAAAAGAGGCTAATAAATATTGATGTAATACTTGTTTTACACAATATTTTTTTTTTTTTAATAGGAAACCTAAAGACCGTATCAAGAAGAAAAGAAAAAAGACAAATCCTGAAAATATATCTCAAAGAGAACTGTAAGTAGAGCTACTATATGCAATACTTTGTAATAAGCTCTTTTGTTTACCATGATTTCGGGACGAATTCTTTCCATTAGGGCGATGACTGAAAGATATAAAAATTCTTTTGTTCCCCAATCTGTACGAATTTACTGCCGTGCTCCCTCTGAAGTCACACATCTTATGAGAACTAATAAGTCCCAGATTTAGCTAAGAGAACTCACTGAATGGCTGTTTGAGATAATTTATTATAAATGTCTTGTCTTCAAATTGTTTTATTTATTGGCTGAAAATGTATAATGCAATAAAAAAACATTTCCATTTATTTGGATCAATAAAAGAATCTTATCTCATCTTAAGGTTTTGCAGTGCCGTAAATTAACTTAATTTGTTTGATTACTTAAAACAGGCCACAGTCCTCATCTGCTATGTATTTCAACTACAATACTCAACTTGGACCACCTTTCCACATCATATTGGACACCAACTTTATTAACTTCTCTATAAAGAACAAGCTAGATATTGTAACCAGCATGATGGATTGTCTCTATGCTAAGTGTAAGTTATATACTTGACATTGTAACCAGCATGATGGATTGTCTCTATGCTAAGTGTAAGTTATATACTTGACATAGTAACCAGCATGATGGATTTTCTCTATGCTAAGCTTGGAAAGACCCGAAAGATACAAGAGGCAGCATTTCTAATACAGCCTTAATAAAAATCTTTTAGTCAGCTGTGTGCTATAATAAAGAAAAACAATAAGCTGTTAAAAATAGGGTGGGGGATCTGTATTGTGTCACCGTAGTAACCATTGAGGTGGGGTGTTCTGTATTGTATCACCATAGTAGTCATTGAGCTGGGAGCTCTGTATTTTGTCAACATAGTAACCATTGTGATGGGGGTGTGTATTGTGTAACCATAATAACTATTGAGGTGGGGGGTACATATTGTTTCACCGTAGTAGCCATTGAGTTTTATTGGGTGGGGGGGGGGTCTATAATGTCTCACCGTAATAACTTTTGAGGTTTGGGGGGGTCTTTATTTTGTTAACGTAGATCTAAAAGAAAAAAAATGCAAACAAAATTGTCAACTAGCTTTACAACTAAAAACTTTGTTTCACCGTAGTAGCCATTGAGTTTTATTGGGTGGGGGGGGGGTCTATAATGTCTCACCGTAATAACTATTGAGGTTTGGGGGGGTCTTTATTGTGTTAACGTAGATCTAAAAGAAAAAAACTGCAAACAAAATTGTCAACTAGCTTTACAACTAAAACCGTGTGATTATTACATTATAATGTTGAGCGCATAGTTTTTGTTTGTATAACTCAGACCTGCCACTCTGAGGTTTTTAAAAATCTCCTCAGGACACCCCAACCCTCATCCCGCCACACACACACTTTTTTTCTCATTCATTAGTCTGTGTGGCCATAATGGTGCTTTAGGTGTGAGCAGATCTTCTTTAAGGCTAGAGCCATCCTGACTCTTTTGATCTCCAGTCTCCATTAGTACTGTAGCTAGGTTTCTTCACTGTGGTGATATTTTCATTAGCAGTTTTCTTCTGTAGCATGTTATAATGAATTGGTTTGCTAGACCACCATGCCCTCCTCCAATCCTGACATGTCCACAATTATTCATATCATGTGACTTTGACTTATTCCAGGTATTCCCTACATCACAGACTGTGTCATGGGGGAGCTAGAAAAACTTGGCAGGAAGTACAGGATAGCACTAAAGTAAGAATCAACTTAATGTTAAGTCATTTGAAGAATTTTGCGCACAACAAATAGAAATTAAACAGCAACCTTTGGTTGATCTTTTGTCATTATAATTATGTGTCTTATGTGTAATGATTTCAATCACGTTTAAGCATTTCATTGAAAGCACTTTGACAGATGGATGTCACAGACATTTTATAATCAAGACTTAAAAATTGAAACAAAATAATTTAGCCATGCCAAGCATCACATACGTTTCCAAATAAATATACAAGACTTGAACAGATGTCCCTCAATACGGCCTACAAATATCTGCAGTGAAGAGGGTTCACTTTGTCAACCCAAGCAAAATTTTAGGGCTCCTGCCAATAGTTGCAATCCTCCCCCCCCCCCTTTTGCGTGCAGTTATTATTTATTTCTGGGGGGGGGGGCCACACACCACAATGCACTTCATCATTATAGTATAGTGGAGTGAGGCAAGACTGAGCTTGAGCACAAATACTCTTGTCACCTCTACCACTCCCTATCCCTTCAGTATTCTCTCCATGCAAAGGCTTTGTTAAAAAGGCTCTCATTCCTGAACTGCTCTTCTTACCCACAATGCTGCTTGACCAACATTCCAAATAAATAAACTTCATTTTGTAAGTTGCCTCTCTCATGCCTCCAAGGGGTCGGGCTGACAGTCTCACGCCTCCAAGGGGTCGGGCTGGCTGACATTATCACGCCTCCAAGGGGTTGGACTGACAGCTTCACACCTCAAAGGGGTCGGACTGAGTCTCACGCCTCCAAGGGTTGGACTGACAGTCTCACGCCTCCAAGGGGTTGGACTGACAGTCTCACGCCTCCAAGGGGTTGGACTGACAGTCTCACGACTCCAAGGGGTTGGACTGACAGTCTCACGACTCCAAGGGGTTGGACTGCCAGACTCACGACTCCAAGGGGTCGGACTGACAATCTCACGACTCCAAGGGATCGGGCTGACAGTCTCACGTCTCAAAGGGGTCGGACTGAGTCTCACGTCTCCAAGGGGTTGGACTGACAATCTCACGCCTCCAAGGGGTTGGACTGACCGTCATTGTTAAGACAGCCTCTAAGTCACACGAAATAAAGTTGAATGAGGTGCAAATAGGAAGCAATGGCAGGGTCTCACGAAGCTAGACTACGTGTTTTAGACCCAATAATATGCCATATTGGACTACACATTTTAGACCCAATCTACCATGTTGGACTAGGAGTTTTAGGCCCAATATGTGATATGGGACTACAAGTTTTAGACCCAATAATATGCCATATTAGACTACACATTTTAGACCCGATCTACCATGCCACATGATTACATGTATTTGATAAGTCATTTGGATTTGTTGGGAAAACAAAAACATTATAATTTCTAAGCAGACCAGCACAAAAAAGTTTCACATTATTGTGTTAAACTTGAATGACTCCAGTGTTGCCATTTTTGCTTGTCCTCATCAACCCTGTGTAATAATACTAGGTACCATTAATGATAGAATTATTAACCACATATCCTTTTCTAACCTAGAATTTTAATTTAATTACGCTAGAAATATGCGTGACCTTCAGCATTAGACTTTATTGTGTAATAATGGCTGGTCATGTGTAAATTAAGAAATTGTATTGCCTTTGTTTTTATTCAAGGATAGCAAAAGATTCACGATTTCATCATTTAACATGTATCCACAAAGGCACTTATGCTGATGACTGCATTGTTAGAAGAGTAACTGAGGTCAGTAATCATAGCTATTTTATTTTTTTTTCATTTTCTAGCTGCACACACACAAATAAGAAAATAATAAGAAAATTTATTATCTTATTTTGTTCAAAGCTAAACTGTTTTCTTATATCAAATATGTAAATTTGTGCTATCTTTCTCTGTTTCAGAGCAAGTGCTATATTGTTGCCACCAATGATAAAGATCTAAAGAAGAGAATAAGAAAAATCCCTGGCGTTCCTATCATGTACATAACGCAGCACAGGTATTTAAAACTTAGATAGGTTTCTATTAGTTATTTTATAGTTAGCTTCACTTTGGGATGAGTTTCCAATCGTAATAGGCGCAAGATTTAACAGGAAAGTAATGTCTGTCTCTGTGGACTAAAAGAGGACTGGACTGCAATAAAATGAAGACAAAATTTGTGTGAAAACAAGCCAGGTCGTTTATTTGTAAGACAAAATCAAGGCAGTTAACTGAGTTGTTATTGTGATAAAATCCGTATTGTTAATAATGACGTAAAACAATTGCAAGTTTTTAGGGGTATTGTGTATGATTAATCAATACCCCATTAACATTATTTTGATTCAATTATTATATTCCACAGATATTCCATAGAGAGGCTTCCTGATGCTTATGGTGCTCCCAAGATGTAATGGTCTATCTTCCCACATACATGTATATATATTCACTTTTTTAATATGAAATGATTTAAAACAATTTATTCATCAAATTTGTTACTTTATGGCGTTCTTTGTTTGCAAGCTTGTGTTCTTTTCATTATTAAGATGAGATCTCTAAGTAAAGTTACTGCTATTATCCATAGACAAATATTTGATTGTCCTGTCAATAACGAAAAATAATTAACTACATGTACCTGTAATTAATAAAAAATTTAGAAGTCAAATCTTTACAACTGCATTACATAAAGGATAATAAATGAAAGACCGTGTTCAAGCTGTGTGAAAGAAATAGAAGATGGTGTGTGGAAGCTGGAAATATAAGAAGAAGGTTTGTGGAAAATAGAAATAGACAGGACAATCAATAAATAATTTACAATATTAATTAAATGGCCTTAGACTACAAGAGTAACAAACGTTCAAAATATCATTATTTAAGGTGTGTTGAGTGGCGTGGGGTTTGTTTGTCATTGTTGGGCTTGTAATTATGAGACCTGGTGAGTCATGCATGCAGTTATGTTAGTAGGTTGGTCTTGAAAACATATTTATTAATACAAATAGCAAGAAATGGGGGGTGCATGCACACTTTTATGGGAAGGAATGTGACGTCCTAACAGCATGTAAACATTGGAACACTGTAAACTAAAAGTGCTGTCTGAACCATATTTAGAGGAGGCACAAAGATACTTGGACTGTTAGCACTATAAGATTTTGAGTGAAACTTGTTAGCTCAATACACTAGAATTTATTTAATGCACACACTTAACATCTAGTTAGTAATGAAACATGTCACTTCCTCTGTTATTTATACGTACATCTCTATATGACGACTTTCAAAAAATGAAATCTGGTTATAAATAAAATGCTGTACATGGCATTTATATAAATGCACCATAACTAAGTTTCTCAACTTAAATTTAAGACAAATGGGAATTATGAAAGAAGGCATTCTGGATAAATATACGGATGATATCTTTGTTTCCATCCGCTAGTTAAAACAATGTAAAAATTGCTGCAGACCAAAGCTATGTTTGTCAGCCATCCAATTTACAGTACGTTACACTTGTAACATGTAAAAATATATTGAACTCAGTGAACCTGCCACCTGTTATTCCACTTTAAAGCAAATACCTCTTAGTCTTTGAAATCATGTTAATATAGATCCATGACATTGTATTGCTCATAGAATTTTCATTTTTAGAATAGACCATTCAATTGAATTTATCTCAATGCAATGACAGGCAGGTAAACATTGGAGATTAGCCGCTTCAATGCACATTAATTGCATGTACTTAAACAATAGTATAGCCAAAAGAATTAGTTGTTCAGAGGTCAACTGTCCATGGGTGGTATGATTCAGGATCAGCTTCTGGAAACTGAAAAAGATATTAATTGTAAACGTATCAATATTTTTTAAGCAGCATCTTCTTTCTTTTAGCATTTCTTCATTTTTTTTTTTTTTAAATATGATTAACTTTACAGAAAGAAATTCACTGAAAGTTGTGTAAATTTAAACCCAGAAAAAAATATATCGTTTTTAGGAAGCCTTGAATATAAGTTTACGGCGATGTCAGTAAAGGGTTAAATAGTTTAAGTTGAACTACTTGTCTGCTCAGAGTATCATTGCAAGCCATCCGTATGTTGGCTGGGAGAGCTGGACTGTTGAGTTCAAACTGAACAGATTCACCATTGTCAATTCTGGCTGCCCTGATGGCATCTTTGACTGCAAAGAAGGCAGATATGGCAAGGAGGAGTGGAGGCTCACCTACCGCCTGTAAACATGACATAAGAAATGGCAAGATTGAGTGGAGGCTCACCTACAACCTGTAAACATGACATAAGAAATGGCAAGATTGAGTGGAGGCTCACCTACCGCCTGTAAACATGACATAAGAAATGATAAGATTGAGTGGAGGCTCACCTACCGCCTGTAAACATGACATAAGAAATGGCAAGATTGAGTGGAGGCTCACCTAGCGCCTGTAAACATGACATAAGAAATGATAAGATTGAGTGGAGGCTCACCTAGCGCCTGTAAACATGACATAAGAAATCCTCATAAAATGGCAAGATTACAGCTAACATTTTTATTTGATTACATTTCAGTCTTCTGTAATTACTGCATGGCTTTGAGTGAAATTGCCCTTCACAGTGGATGTAGAGACCTCTTTCCATCCAAAATGTTGGGTATGGAGAAGTCATGAAGACTTGTTAGCCTTTATTCCAACTAGAGGAAATATTATGTATTTTTTAAAAAAATGAACGTTTACCCTCGATGAGAAGATGGCCTTGGGATTGGAACTGTCTGGAACCAGGTAAACATTGAACACCGCTGGGATGTTCCCAAAAGATGGGATTTTATAGTTGCCTGGGCCCTTGGTTATGTGAGAGCCTTCTGGGGAGACTTTGATATCTTCAGTTAGCATGAGTCCATAACCCTGGAGAGTATTGACTTGATTCAGATATTTCCTTGTTTGCTAATAAAAGCATTACTTATTAAATGCATCATACATACATACGCAGAGGTATTGAAATGAAATTTGAGAAACTTTTTTAAGTGATATTTTAAACATGTTTCTAAGTTAAATGTGTGCTAGTACCATTATTTAAGACTTATTCCCCTTGTTCTTTTTACCTGTGTGAAAGCACCCTCTATTTGGCCAACGTCAATGGCTGGGTTGATACTGTTGCCAACATCCATAACAATATCTGTTTGGAGAACCTGTTTATAAAAGGAATAATCATACTTCACAGATTTGTACTCATTGATATTTTGCTATCCCAACCTGTTGCTATTCCAACTCACAATAAATGTAATGTTTTCTTTTATCCTGACAGAAATAATCCTTACTTGAAAAATTCAATATCAAAATTATCGATGTGAATGAATGTTCTGTTTATGGTTTTTGTTTCACTAGAAAATGTGTCTGTTAATATCTTTAGTACCTTATGTTCCCCTGTAAGACAATCAATCTGGACTTCTGTACAAGCAGCTCCAAAAGTAAAGTAAGCAAACGGCCGACCAATCTGCTTGTCCATGTCATACCCCACATCAGGTGTCCTGTAATAAAAACACTCTTCCATTGGAAATTTCATCAATATAAATAAAATAAAATTATTTTGCGTGGAATGCTAATCTGGCCACACTGTATGATATAAATATCAGATGTGTGAGATGCTAATCTGGTCACACTATGATATAAATATCAGATGTGTGAGATGCTAATCTGGCCACACTGTATGATATAAATATCATATGTGTGAGATGCTAATCTGGCCACACTGTATGACATAAATATCAGGTGTGTGAGATGCTAATCTGGCCACACTGTATGATATAAATATCAGATGTGTGAGATGTTAAGCTGAACACACTGTATGATATAAATATCAGATGTGTGAGATGCTAATCTGACCACACTGTATGATATAAATATCAGATGTTTGATATGCTAAGCTGGCCACACTGTATGATATAAATATCAGATGTGTGAGATGCTAATCTGGCCACACTGTATGATATAAATATCAGATGTGTGAGATGCTAATCTGGCCACACTGTATGACATAAATATCAGGTGTGTGAGATGCTAATCTGGCCACACTGTATGACATAAATATCAGGTGTGTGAGATGCTAATCTGGCCACACTGTATGATATAAATATCAGATGTGTGAGATGCTAATCTGGCCACACTGTATGATATAAATATCAGATGTGTGAGATGCTAATCTGGCCACACTGTATGATATAAATATCAGATGTGTGAGATGCTAATCTGGCCACACTGTATGATATAAATATCAGATGTGTGAGATGCTAATCTGGCCACACTGTATGATATAAATATCAGATGTGTGAGATGCTAATCTGGCCACACTGTATGATATAAATATCAGATGTGTGAGATGCTAATCTGGCCACACTGTATGATATAAATATCAGATGTGTGAGATGCTAATCTGGCCACACTGTATGATATAAATATCAGATGTGTGAGATGCTAATCTGGCCACACTGTATGATATAAATATCAGATGTGTGAGATGCTAAGCTTTTAAAACATCAAAAAATGTTTTCTTTACTTGTAAAATCCTGTTGAAGACAAGCTTACCCTTGCCATGTAGGCACTTGTGATCTAAAAATAGAAAATAGATTACATTAGAAATGGAGACATTATCTTGAGTAATATTCATGAACACGCTGTGTGTGTGACAGTAATTACTTAAATGTTAGTAAAATTCATGAGATGTTAATTTGTGCTTTTCTCTAAACCGTAGGCTTCTTTAGAATTTTATAACTGCAACTTAATCTACAAAGTGGGAAAAAACAAATCTCATAATTTCTCTTAACCAACATATTGGTATAAACAAATTCTAAAAAATAAAAACAATATAATGTTCACTTGTAACCATTTTAAAATCAATGATTCAAGAAAATTGCTTCTTATTTAACAGTTAAAGAATTGTTTACAATTATAACTTGAATATTTACATTTGTTGGATATTTACTTTTCATAAAAATGTGTTTCTTAATTTTGGTTGCAAATATTAAACTTGTGTAAGTTGTAAAGGGTTGGGTGGGGGGGCAGAAGGGTGCTAATTAATTTTAAAAATGTATTAAATTTATACCCATTCTTCCCAGGAGCCTTTTGGATTGGCGTTTACAAAAGGCTTCAATCGTTCTTTTAAAATTTCACAGGCATTCTGGAGAGGAAATATTCAATCAGGAAAAATAGAAGCAGGATTTTTAAAGTTTATTTAGCTTTTTCTATCTAAAAAATTTTATGTTTGCAATATTTCCCATATATTAAAACATATTAGAACTCAAAGAAAATGTGAACAAATACTTTTTCAAATACCAGTATTCACCAATAAGCCTGCCTCTTTTTAAAGAGAAACATGCCAAAGGAGGATTCCTTATTTTATTTTAGCCTCAGCTAACCTACTTAACAATTAATCTAAAATATTCAGACCTTTACAGCCATGCCATTGAGATCTGTGCCAACACTTGCTGCTGTAGGCATTGTGTTGGGCACAGTGCTGGTAGATGTCTCACTAATGTGAATACGAGACAGTGGCAAACCAAGAACTTCACTAGCTATCTGAGATGGTGGAAGAACGAAATAAAATAATTGAGTATTCATTAACTTAAAATTGAAAAGCATCATAAACTTGCATGTTCTCTGTAAAAAAAAAAAATCTAGTATCTAAAGCAGGGGTCCTCGAAATTTTTAATCAGGGGGCCATTACACTTTTGAGACGGGGGGAGGGGGGCGGCGGCAATGTTCACTGTCCCATAGACACTGTTGGGGGCGAGGTTATAGTTCCAAAAAATTATTAACAAATTCATATACACACTCCATTTATCTTATTTGCCATGGTAGTGCAAAAAACAGAAAAATACAATATTTTAATTGAACAATTTTACCCAAATTCAAGCATTTTAATGGGAAATATGGGACTGCTTCTGGCCAATGACATGGTCAATGTCTGGTTCTATTTTGTAGCTGCTACGCGGGTAACCAAATGACAGCCAGGTTAATGACGCTTGGCTGGTCGGATGGGGCCTGTAGGTCATAATATAAGGACCCCTGATGTAAAGAATACTTTTTCAAAAAATAAAGTTAAGATTAAAAGTAGATTAGATAAAATATTACCTGTGAGATTTTAATATGTAGCCCTTGCCCCATTTCAACACCAGCATGAGTTACAAGCACAGATCCATCTTTATATATGTGTACCAAGGCGCCAGCCTTAAATCAATTAAAACCTGTTTTACATGTTTATTTATGGAGTTCAGGTAATTAAACTATTGAAATGAAAGAATATTATTTGTGTTAAGTACTGTAGCCATTACATATTGGCACAATAAAATTTAGCCACGTTTAGGAGAATCAAAAAGTTTGACATTGAACTACAAACCATTGTATTATACCAGGAGCTTAGGGATGAACCAAAACCCTGAATAATTTATATTTTGTAGCAGTTCATTTCTGAAAATGCTCTTGCTGTCCTCTCTGATACTAGATCTCAGCTTAGTGTTATTTTTTGTTTGTTTTATTACTGTTCTTGCGAACACGTTTGTTCTTTTATTGCATTCTTATTTTCAGGTTTTCCCATACTTTGTTAAGCTCATGTCCATTAATTTGTCAAGTTGTTTTTTTTTCTGGATCATCCAATAGATTTTATCTAATTTCACATTTATAATGTCTTTAAACCAGAAAGAATGGATATTTATTTTTCATTTTCTTTTTTATTTGTAATGAAGTGAAAAATCAAATATTTTAAAAGAAATATGCTTTGGTTAATTTTACAGAAGGAGTGTTTTAAGTCTCGAAATGTACATTAGTAAAAATTCATTTGAAATATAGGAAATTTAATAGAAAAGGAAAGATAACTAATTAAGTCTCAGTTTTTTTAATCACCTGATTCATGTGTGTTTGAATAAAAGAAATTCCAAATTTGACTGGACAAACAGCAATGCCCTTCTTCTTCCAACGATTGCACCTTAAATGAAACATGCAGAATTTTATACATACAACTGTGCAATATCTGCAACATTTAAACAAATGTATATTATGTTAAAAATATAATGATCATTGTTATAAAGTAATATTAAATAAAAGTTAAATCAGTGGAAATAACATTGTGATCAGGCCATTGAGAAATGCTTTATTGATTAAAGTTAAAAATCATAAAATTAAATTAAAAAAACAGTGTAGCTGACCAATAATTTAAAGCTCTGTTTCTGTATTAGATTTTAATCAGATTCCCCTATTAAATGTCTGAGAATGTACAGGGTGGCGCAGAGAGAGTGGGGCCATCTTGAATAATTTTACATGGGATTTATTTTGGTTGGTAACTTTAACTTTTAACCAATGTAACCTCTCTAAAAGTTAAGCTATTTTTACTCCTCGGTTTTCAACAGTTTATGCTTAATGGCTGCGCCACTGTTCAGGCTGTGTCACTGGTCAATATTCCTGTTTATAAACCAATGATACAATTTTTTTCACCCCTGAGCAATGGTTGACTTCTCTTGTTCTATTGTTGCAATTTACTAATAGGTAAGACTTTTTGTTGGAAGGCGCTCCAAATAGGATAATCTTCTGGATTTAGGTCACTAGGTCTTTGTGGAAATGTCTGATTCGATGAAGGTTACATTCTTTTGATGTGGGTATGCAGGGGCTTTATCCTGTTGTGACAATGGCATCTGTCTTGAATATCCAGGAGGAATCCGTGTCCTGGGATGTGTTCACAATAATACTCACTGTTGACTTTTTCTCCATGTTCCACAAACGCTGCACTGATTTTTTCCTATCCAAGACACCCCGACCGAAACCACTTTGCCCCAAATGAAATACTCACATTTGTTTAACAGCCTTGTTGCTTGAACTGTTTGTTTCTCTTTCATGATTCAGAATACCCGTATAAATAATTATTTTGAGAATTATCAGGTCTAACGCAAGTAAGTGACTTTTCATCTGTAAATCAAATGCTTCGTACACTTGCCTCATTAGGAAACCTATAAAGTAACTGTTGACTTCATTTCAATTTCCAGTTTTCATTTATAACTTGCCCTGTTGCGCATTTGTATGATTGAAGTTAAAGATATTTCTTTAAAATATGTTGCTCTGTTCTTGTTCTCCATTGTTCTTACCATCAGCATCAATTTTTTTTAACGAAATCCAAATCAATTAAGACATTTTTTTTTTCACACTTTATTTTTAAAAACAGCAGTTATTTGCCTAGCTTCCCATTGTTTTTCAATTCGTAAATTTTAAAATAAGAATGCGACCTTCCTCTGATATCTTTGCCAACAGTACAAAACATTAAACACAGAAAAATAAATAAAATATTAAGATGGCAAAAGGAATTAAATGAAGTAGGGGCGTCAAAACGTGATTTAGTAAGTAAGGATGATGTTTACAGTTTAAAAGCATCCCCAAAAAATAATTTGATATACATTGCACAATATTTCATGAGGCATTCCCAGTTTTTTGTGCCACCCTGTAGATTTATCCATGCCTGTTATATTCATCCACATGCTTTCGTCTATTGTGATAAGCACTTTTCTCAATGCACATGTCCCAGCATCTCTTCAGAGATTCTCCTCCAGCAGGAATCGCAAAATGAGTCAAATCATCTGGTTGGAAAAAGTTTATCTCTCGAACCTGATCAGACGAGAGTAAAGAGCTAAGAATGTTTTTTACTCTCACTCTCATTATTTTTCAAAGCAATCATTCAGCAAGACCTTAAATAATCGTTAACTTCATAAACACATTCACTAAGAAATATTTAAATGCTGAGAATAAAACTCTCATAACCTGAATCGGATCCATTTTTAGATAAAAAACTATGTCATCCATTATTGATTCAACAATGAAATGTGCCTGTACTCCGCCAAAACCCCTGAATGCTGTGTTTGACATGATGTTTGTCTTACAGCATTTACCAACAAGCCTCATATTGGCAAAATAGTAACAAGAATCAATCTCAAGCATAGCTTTTTCCATCACCTAAAAATAAAATGACATTTGTCAGAGTCAGCTAAAAAGAAATTAAAAACAAAATTTGTGTAGGTATCAAATGTGATTATTCCTGAATGTTCATACAAGTTAGGCCTATGAGCTTTGAGGATATTATCTATTTATGTTTAAACTAACCAGAAAATTCAGACAAAATTTGTGCAATAGAAACACAGTAACTTTTGAAATGAAGCTAATAAAGTAATTTTGAACCAATTAAATTTCTAAATGGGGGCTCACAGCCTTCTTGGTCAAGCCATCATAATTATGGTACCTGTAAAACCATTAAGTTTTTGAGTCACCAGCTTTAGTCTTTTCTTCCTAGGTGGAGGTGATCTGGCAAATTGTCATGTTCACACAAATTTTGAAAAGAGCTCTTCATACATCTCCTTTCCCACCATACAATTCATACAAAGCACACCCCATGTATTCTGTCCCCTCACACATTCCAACTATCTCTCCTAGCTTAAATGCCATATTTTCTTGACAATGCTTTGAATAAATCTAGCAGAACAAAAGTACAAACTTACAGCTATAGAAAGATCTATACTGTTGCCAGCATTATTAAACAGCTCCATGTCTAGGGCCAAGACTTTCCCATTTGATTTGAAGCCAACCTGAAATAAGTTGTATCTAACTATTTTTTGTTGTTTGCTTAATGACTTTTCTAGACTCATTAGTTTTAATGGCAGAATTAAAAAGTAAATTCAAAACAAACATTTTAGAAGAAACTTCCATTAAAAGTTTTGGTTTCAAAATCTGGCAATGTTAAAAAGCTTCTGTACGTGTATGATTATGCAATTTTTTTTTTGTTATCATCTTTAAAACAATACAGATCTGCTAATAAGAGGATTATTTAATAATTAATTAACATGAATCCATTAACTAGGCTGATAAAGGTATACAATTCTGACTGGATAAAATTTCAATGGTTCTAACCTTGTACTTTGCCATAAAAGGATGCCTATTTCCTGTGGTAACCATATCCTCATCTCGCTCTAAAATACAACGCACTGGTTTGCCAAGTCTAGAAAATAAACTTTCATGTCTTATTTTAAAACACAAATGTACATTTTCCAAGTAGATTTATAAATACTCAGTGTAAGATTGTCCCAAAAAAAGAGATTACAAAGAAACTTTATTTTATATCTAACTCACAGTTTATTCTACTTACTTTCTGGCAGCTATTGCAGTTGGTAAGGCTGACAATGATGTCTGGGATTCCTTTCCACCAAAGCCACCTCCTAAAACATTTTATAAAAAAAAAAGATTAGAAAATTATATTCTATCTTTTTCCAAATAATTTTTTTTTTGTGACATCATGAAACATAGAAACAAAAATAAATTGGCAATTAAAAATATTTAACCAACAAAGATTATAGTCATTTCAAAAATATAGTTTACTGAAGCTATAAAACAGGTTGCATCATCATTAAATTAATGTTAATGGATAGAAATTAATTTATCACCTTATATATTTTGAATACTTAAATATATTAAATAGCAATTATACTCTCATCAATTTAAAGCTATGTTCTTTATTTCACTAACAGATCAAATCAACATGACAGACTACATTTCAAACTATTTTGAGATGGAAAACTAATCCTGCAGGATAATAAAATATTAAACCAAATATAAATTCAATATATTTTCCAACATATATCAAGGAATTTGGCTTACCTATCCTTTTTATGCGTATCTTAATTTTATTAGCTTCAACGCCAAGAGCTTCAGCAATTTCAAACTGAGAAAATAATAATGTAATACATTTAGACCTTTCCTTCCACTATCCATATTCCAATCAAACACAATTATAAATATTTAAAACCATAATATAAAATTTGACAATCTACACCTATTGTCCTCAAAATGGGTGGTACACCCCACTACCACCCGGAATGTGGGATAACCCAGGGACAGTAAAATGGACAGTAGGTTTAAGAGGTGTATGATATTTTAAACAAAATTGATTTATGATTTAATGATGGGATCATTATCAAACTTGAAAAACAAAAAAAAACATTTTCACTTAGTAAGACCAGATCAATATAATGTTCACAAGTAGTGATAACATTTTAAAGAGGAGCCACCAAAATATTTTTCTACACATTTACTGAAATAAGAACTTAAATTATAATATTTATTTACTATTGTGATATAAATATTTATTGATTGTTATCAATGACAGTTTTTTCAAATTATACTATATTTATTAAAATTCATAGAAGGCAATGCGTTGCCAGGGTAGGCTATCATCACACTGTAAATAGCTCGAATATATCTTTGTTTTCATGAAAGTTGATTAGATCTAGTCTTGATGAAGAACTTCATTAAACTTCATTTTTATTATGCAGGGATGGAGATAGCATTTTGAGTGATGCTCGATTACTTGATAATTAAACAAAAAGTTCCCCCTCAAGGACAGGTAAGTATCACGGTTTTATTTATATATTTTCTGTAAGTACCTCATTTCTTTATTCTTTACTGTGTCATTGATCAAATCATCTGGTGGCTAAAAGCTGAATGCTTAGTGACTTTCACAAGATGAGTATGTAAGTTGCTTTTAGAAGCTATTTGACATGGTGGGAGTTTTGAACAAGAAATATATTTCTTTACGTTCTGACCCCAAAGTCATCAAACACAACTAAGCTGTTTTCAGAAATATTTGCAGATTTCAATAACTCAATTTACCTTTGCTGGGAGATGATTTTAAAATTATTTAAACCAAATAAAGAAACTCTACTTTCATAACTAAATCAATTGCAATTTTTTTCCAATATCCAAGCCAGCCTGAACTAGAAATGAAAAGGTTTACAACATGATAAATCAGTGGCATGATAAGGTTTAATCAGTGTGGTTAACTCATGGTGCCACCCTTCCCCTTTTTAGACTTTCCCATAAACCTCATTAAGTATGTCTGCTCTGGGGAACACCTTTTTTGTTTACAACCTAATCTGATGGCACCCTGCTAGGTCTCAGGACACCTTGCTCAGGTGGCAGTGTACTATAGTGAGACCTTGTTCTAGTGGCAGACTGCTAGGGTGAGACCTTGTTCTAGTGGCAGACTGCTAGGGTGAAACCTTGTTCTAGTGGCAAACTGCTAGGGTGAGACCTTGTTCAAGTGGCAATCTGCTATGGTGAGACCTTGTTCTAGTGGCAAACTGCTAGGGTGAGACCTTGTTCTAGTGGCAATCTGCTAGGATGAGACCTTGTTCTAGTGGTAAACTGCTAGGGTGAGACCTTGTTCTAGTGGCAAACTGCTAGAGTGAGACCTTGTTCTAGTGGCCATCTGCGATGGTGAGACCTTTTTCTAGTTGCAAACTGCTAGGGTGTGACCTTGCTCTAGTGGCAACCATTATGGTGACAGCCTGATCCTGTGACAACCGCAATGGTGACAGCCTGATCCTGTGACAACCACCATGGTGAAAGCCTGATCCTGTGACAACTACCATGGTGACAGCCTGATCCAGTGACCACTATGGTGACAGCCTGATATTGTGGCACCATGCTCATGTATTTAAAATAGACGTAAGCTAACACTGTTAAATTTTCAATTAGTCATTTGGTGTCATCCACTATATTCCACACCACATAGTGATGCTACTGCTTAAAATATTTTGTGACCATTTGAATATGGGACATATAATTGGGTAAGAGCAATTTTAGGATTTTCTTCAATTGAAATTTTAGTTAAGGGGGATAAATCCATTTTCAGTTCTAAATGCATTTAGTTGGTTTGATGAATAGCCAGTTCAAAGGTGAAATCAACAATTAAAAAATCTTACTTAGAGTTTTGGCTTTAGACTCGATACTTTTTTAAAATCTTGATTTAAGAGTGGTGTTAAGTTACCTTAAAAATGGTATCAAAGAAACGGTTTCACTTGACTAGACCTATCCAAAGAATACAGTAAGCCTATAAAAGCCATTGAAAAGTAACTTACTATGTGCTTACTTATCGTTCATTTTTAAAAGCTATAGTATTGATGGATCAAATTTAATTGAAGTAAAAGGCTTTTTTTAACATTTTAATTAAAAGTTTAATTACTTATAAAACTTTAAAATTTCATTGTGTTGTTATTTTCCTTACATAGTTGTGCTGCCCACTGTTATGTGGTAATACAGGGGGTGCTAGGGATGGGTTCATTGCGCAAAGGGGGCAATGGCCAAAAAAAGTTTGAGAACCACTGATCTACAACAAGACATAAGAAAAGAATTTTTAAAAACTAAATGTTTGTAATTATAAAGATATTACCTGTAATTCGGTTGGATTTTGTGTGGAAGCAAACACCTCCATTTCTCCATTTTCCCCTGGCAGAATTCTTGAAGCCATAGTCTCCAAATAAAAATGATTTTGTCCATTGATTCGAACTTCACCCTCTAGAATGTGATCAGAAGAATTGAATCCCCTGGTTAGATCACCTATTTCCAGTTTCTTTGAAGGACTGAAGAATGATTGGTGTTTGATGGCATCCTGTATGGAGATAATTTCATGGATTTTATAACGTATCATAATTTATTTCCATAAAGTTGTTTTCCAGGCCTCCTTATTTAAAATACTTATATAAAATGTCTTACTACACAGAAAGTGTACATGTAGAAAATGAACTAAGGGAAATATGGTAGCCATTATTATATGTCATGTAAACCTATCTAGCTAGAACTAACCTCCCTGAAAATTATCTTGTATTAGCATACACCATTCACATGGTCTTTAATAAAATCAAACCCTAACAAATAATAAGATAAGATCAGATTCTTTTATTGAGCCAATCAAATGGAAATGTTTTTTGATTGCTTTGTACAGTTTCAGCACATAAATAAAACAATTTAAACACAAGACATCTACATTAAATTATTTCACTAGTGAAAAAAAACAGCCATTCAGTGAATTCTCTTAGCCATATCAGGAACTTCTTAGTTCTCATTAAGATTTGTGACTTCAGGGGGAGCACGCTGGAAAATTAGTACAGATTGGGTAACAAATGAATTTTTATATCTTTCAGTCCTCGTCCTGAGGGAAAGAATTTGACCCGAATGGGCCGAGATTGGGATGTATTATTCAAAATGTGTTTAGTTTTACAATAACATCTTGCTTCAGGTGACACCTAAGTACTACAATTTGATTTTTTATGTTGAGATCTGTAAGTTGGTTTTTCCCCTGCTGAAATCAACAACCATTTCCTTTTTTTTTGAGACATTCAGCTGGAGAAAATTTTCGTCGCACCAATTGATAAAACTTGTAACTAAGTTGCGGTATAAGCCTTCTCACTCAGATATTAAGCCAATGATGGTGGTATCATCAGCTAATTTTTTGATTGGTACGGTGTCGCTTGAGCTCTGAATATCATTGGTATATAGTATACAGTACAGGGGAGAGAACACAGCCTTGTGGTGCCCTGGTAGTTATTTGCACTTAATCAAAAATTATTAATGCATCTGGTATTGTGAGGACCGCAGAACTGTTTGTAGAATACTGTTTTCTTCATAAATTATATTATTTCATCTGTTATGAATACAAAATAATGTAACATGGTAAAAAGTCCGTCTCATGCATGCAATGTAACACTTTCTATTATTAATGCATTAAAAAACATTGCTCAGATTCATTCACAAACAGTATCCTTTTATTTCTAACTGGGCTAACAGAATTCTGCATCTAGTTTTTTAAAATATATGTCATCTATCAGAATTGGGTTAGTGCTGAATTATGCAGGAGTCTTTCTTTCAAACATTGTTATTAATTTCTTGTATCAGAACTTGAAATCTAGAGTTTCCTGTTACAAACCTTGATAGTGATAATGACAGGTGATTTTTCTTCATACTTCACTTTGACTAGCTTCACAGCGCTGTGGGCATGGCTATGTGTATCAGCAACAATAGCTCCAATAATCTGACCTTGACATGTAACCTTGTAAAAACAATTACCAAAGGCTAAATAAAATAGAAAAAAATGTTGCTTTCATAAAATTGTAAAAAAAAGAAAATATTTTCTGGAAAAATGTGATTCAGTCTTAGCAGTCTATCTTATTGATTTAAAAATGTATGATTTTGTTTAGAAGAGTCTTCTGAAATGGAACAGTCCAAAGATAAAGATATGGGGCAATGTTATCTGGGGTGGGTTGGGGTTTACTTTCCCTTGATGCATCAAATTGAAGATAAAAATTCATTAGCTTTACACAACCATTTTTATGTGTGTAAAATTTTACCAAAATCAATTCCAGCTAAAATTAATGCTTGGACTTTACATTAAAGATAAGAAATGTTTCAGCAAGTACAATGTAACTTTTACAGGGACCATATTCTTACAATTTATTGACTTCATAACCCATAACTAGATGCTCTAAAGTAAAAATTACCTCACAATCTTCAAAAATTTTGTCCATGACAATGCCAAGATGATTTTTTCCAGGGATATCAGCAGCAGACACAAAGTCAACAACACCAGGTGCAGCAAGGGCAGCTGATGGATCAATGCTGACAATTTTGGCAAAAGTCTTTGTGCTGGTGACTAAAGCCAAATGAAGCTCTCCTAAAATTGTAAAATGGGGAAACCACAAATTACCCACAAATTTGTACACATTTGTACAGATCAATTTTAAAGATGACAAAAACTCAGACAAAGATTATTAATGCTGAAATACATATGTATAATGTAATCAAAACAAATTTCCTGTTATTAGGATCAATAAAAGACTCTTATCTAATAAATTTTTACAAGAAAACGAATTTAAAAAATTTGTCAAGTTGATGCCGTTTGTTTACCTTCAATTGGAATCATGTCATCAATATAAATTGCCTCCCCTGTACTTTGTTGCAATGCTGATATATGTGCTGTTGGTTTACCAATAGTTTCAAATAATTGGTCTCTGGAGTCAACTGCACCAATGATTTGGCTGGCACGAGTAACAGAACTTTCTAATTGCTTGAGAGCACTTAGATCATGACTTTTAATAATCTATAGAAGGAAAAGACAGTTATGCCGCTTGTCTATCAGATTAAGCTGTAAAACAGACATTTTCCTAAGCTTTCACAATTTATTCAATAGTGAGCTATTAATAAAAAAAACAATTATTTATTAACATTAGTAAATTTAACCCCTTTGACATAGCCAGGTGGACAGGTTGTTATTTTTTTTTTTTTCATGGCATCATTGCTCTAAATTTCACCTTTTTTTTTTTCTCTTGTATACATTTGAGAAAGGATCTCTCTCATGCTGAAAGGCTTAAACAATATTTCTCATAAATTTTCAAAGAAGTAATTTAAGAGATGGAATATTGAAAGATAAAGGCATAATAATTTCAGAACATACCTCATCTCCACAGGCTTGTTGTTTAACTGCCAGGTAAAATTTGAAGAAAAAGCTTGCAGCTAAAGTTCTCCGATACTCTACAGATCCACCCGGTGCACCAGGTGAAAGAGGCAAATCACTTGGCAATAAATCAAAAACTTTTTGTAGCAGAGTATCATTCCATACACTAGAGAAAAATATTTGAAATTAGTTTAATTAATGTTAAAAGATAAATTCCCATAGTTTGTTTCTAGGATTTTACAAAATAATTGAAAAAAAACACAACTTTTCTCCTCTTTCTCAAGAGAGTGTCAAAATTAATACTAGATGAAAAATAATAAGATAAAATATCAGTTATCTAGAAAACAGGTTGAATTAAATTTAAATAGTACATTTCAATAGTTGAATGTAGCTATGCTGCTACTATTTACCTTCCTTCTTACATACCAAAAATATCTTCATCAGATTTTTTAAAGAGGCAAAACAGTAATTTAATAAAAATACTGTAAATAACTACAAAAAGGATTTTAAACAAAAGGAAACAATCAAAAGAGAAAGGGTTGTAAAAAGATAATAATAAAAGCTATTGGAGTTCAAAATTAATTTGCTTACCTTCCTAAAACCGCTTCAACTGTATGCCTTGCCAGAACCGTTGTCAAACCCATACCGCCAAAAGCCAATGACATGCCAATGATGGTATTGTCAACAGATAAAGACACCATCATGCCAGCGTTCACAAGGGAGATATCATCATCTTTTCTAAGGGCTTGTTTAAAGCCATTAAAATACTGCCCCTGGTTATTATCAATATTGAAATTTGACACATTGTTATTATTGATAATATATATTTGAAAATCAAATTGATTAAAAATGTAGCAATGAGTTCTAAATGATTTAATTCAATGTTAAGTTATCAGACACTAGTACAGTATTTTTATTATATGATCAATGCTTTTTTGCTTAAGTTTTGTATTATTATTTTAAAGTGCTTTCCAATTATTGAAAGTGAAGCGCATTTATTAAATTGTATTTAGTATCTGGGACAGTTTAACTTTGAAATTCTCTGCATGCATAAAAAAAATATAAATTTTAAAAACATATGAAACCTTCTTGGTAAATGGAATTGTAATGGACACCAAAACCTCATCGTCATCAACTGCAGTTTTCCTGTAGCCAGTGAAGAAATCTTTGTCCATTTTTAAGACACGCTGACCTCTCTCTGAAAATGAATAAGCTATTCCTGAGAACTGGGGTAACAAATGGAGGCAATAACTGAATCGTACACAATTAAATCTTTTCTGAAAATAAATTTAAACATTAATAATTCAAAAGGGTGAAACTCAACTACCAGTATGTTTCCCTCCCACCACAACTCCATCATATACATAGATTTCCTTGATATAAATTTAAAAGCACATGATATTGACAAAACATTAAAATTATTTTTTTTTTTAAAGTGCCATAAATTATGTAAAAAAAAATGCAAATTTGAAATGGACTTACCTTTAGATTGCACAGTAACTCTGGCCTCAGATGCCAGCAAAAGAGGATTCAGGTCTGATATTGGACTAGCTGTCATGATGTTCCCAGCTACAGACTTTATAAAAGCAACAATAATCATCAAAGGATTACTATGTTATATATAGTGAAATTTAATAATACAAAACCTTAAGTTTAAGCTTGAAATAGTAAATCACAAAATGCATGTTTAAAATATATATATTTCTAGAACTAGGAATTATGTTCTGAGAAAAATAAAGTGGCACAGCATAAATAATTATCTATTTTAAAAATTAATCGTAAATTTCATTTGTACTGTATATTTATCTCCCCTGTTTATTCTTTCTTACTGTTTTATAATTGAATTATTCCCCCTAATTTCTGTATCATGAAATAATTTTCACTTACAGCAACATTTCTAATTTGATGACTAGCAAACCATCTCAACATTTCCACTATGGCAGAAAACACTCTCGTTTTGTACTCTAGAAGAACAAAAAGTTAGAATGGCTCTTAAAAAATTAATGCAAAAATTCAGATTTTTAGAAAAGAAGAATTTCTTTATTCTTTATGAATAAATATAAGAAAGTCTTTGCGAGTATAAAAATCTTGGTATATTTTGAAACGAGGTCATAAGTAAATTAAAAGTGTTTAAATATCAACTGCCACTGTTTCTAACATGATTAAAATAATACCAATACACTTCTACCTGGTTCCATTTTGATAAGCTGTCTCAACTTTTGATCCAGCTGAGAGAGACTGACTGAGGCACCAACAACAAGGCCAGAATCTTCTGTTTTGAGGATCAATAATTCCTTCACTTGATTTGTTGCTATCAGAACTGGATATTTCATACTTTTAAATTTTGTTTCAACACCTAAAATTAGGCAAAATTTTAAACTTGTATTAGTACAAGAGTTGACATTGTGACATTGGCATCAATATTAGAAAACTGGTTTTGATATTTAATGAATAGAGTTAAGACTGTTATTTTAGCTTAGGTTTAAGTATTTAATAACAGAGGGAAACTCGCATTCACAGATGCCTTAAATATATACAAGGACATATATCTATTTATAGCACAGCTAATAACATTCTAAATTTTAAACAAAAAAATGCCTCTGAGTAATAATGAAGGACTATAACAGTTGCTATTTCCTATTGTCAGACAAGGGCGTAGCTAGAGTGTTTTGCGCCCTGAGACAATATATATTTTTAACACCCCCCCCCCCTTTCCACCCCTCAACTCTGAAACCCATTAATTTCATCAATAAAATATCATCAATAATTCCCTGAGACAATATATCTTTTTAACCCCCCCCCCCCCCTTTCCACCCCTCAACTCTGAAACCCATTAATTTCATCAATAAAATATCATCAATAATATCCCCAATTTTGATGCCCAACACTGGTGTAACCACCCCCCCCCACCCACCTTTTAGTTACACCTTTGTTAAGTCTGGTGCCATTAAATATGAGTGACCCAGGTCATTCTGGACCTCTAATGTGTAGGCCTACTGGGTGTAAATATTTAAGACTGCTTTTACCTATTTCTGTATTTCCAACAACAAGTTTGGCTGTTTGGTATTTGGCCTTTAACTCCAACAAATGGTTTAATGTGACTGGTTGCATCCATGTGGTTGTTGAGTTCTGGAACTTAATGGCTTGACCGTGGTATTTGTCATGATTAACCTGGGCATTGAGTTTAGTGTGAAAATAATTTTACAGCTGGAAAAAATATTGCATACTTGGAACAGAAATACTTCGAAAGTTTGAATATTTTTTATTTTAATTTTATATTTAACATCAATACCAGTTCAGAATAGCTGAGGTTTGTTTTCGATATTGGGACATCATTATAAACAAATAAATGGCGTACATTTTTAGTAAAAGACTTTTGCTTAGAGTAAAAAAATCATAATACAGATATAAAAATGAAATTTAACTTAAAAACTAAAATGTCTTGCCTTCAGATCTGGTGGAAAAATTGGTTCTTGCGATGGCTGATACGTTATTAGTTTGCTTATCTTTGGTCCCAGAATCTGGACAAATATTAATCATTTTACTGAACTGGAAACACTATAATTTAAATCAGAACTTGAGTTTCAAAATTCAAATTATATAATTTTTTTTTAAAAACAGACTCATGATATGATTGTAAGATCTAATAAGTCTCTTGTACCTCCAACATCTAATAAGTCTCATGAACCTCCAACATCTAATAAGTCTCATGTACCTCCAACATCTAATAAGTCTCATCTACCTCCAACCTGCTGATGGAGTTGTCCACCCTGTCTTCATGTTGACCCCCATTGCTGGTAGCATTGATGACATCACCATTACTGCAGTTATTTTGACCACTGTTGCCATTTGTGTGCCTCCAATCCCCATTAGTTTCATCATGTGGTTTTGTTTTATTCTGACAGCATTCACTTCCCATTGCACAGGTAAACTCCTGAACACAAATAGAACAAATTTAACAAAGATTAAAATTGCTAAATTAATAATCTTGAGAAAAGATACCAAGATATCCCCTCCCACATTTTTTTTCACTTCTGATATGTTGTGAAAATTAATTTAAGATAATTCTCATATTCAAATTATATACCTTCTAAATTAAATGGTCCTATTCCCAGGGTTCAGATTTGCAAATAAACTCTTACGTTACAAAGCTTTAAATTATCAATTGGATAACAAAATTTAAATAATGAATACAAATTAATACAGTGTATAATGTATTGTTTACAAACTCTATGTTTTATGTGTGAAAATATATAATTCTACCTAACAAGTAAATGCTGAAGTCAGGTTGACCTATTACCTTTGTAAATGTCCAGAAGCCATCAAGGATGGCTCGATATCCTGTGCAGCGGCAGAGATTGCCTGGACATCAAGAAATGAAGTAATTAAAGGTGAATTCTTAAATAAAGGAGGCCATTAAAATAAGATAAAGAGTCAGAGTCAATCAAAAAATTATTAAAATTGATATTAAAAAAAAGTCTGTTCATGAGATCAAATTATTTTCACCATCCATTTCTACAATGATAGTTACTGTGGTCAACCTTCACATAAAGTACCCCTCTTCGAAACCACTGGACATCACTACTTATTAACTTATTACTTATTACTTATTATATTATATTCCTTTGAAACCACCGGTCAACACTCAGATTTATTACAGAACAGCATTGGTCATTCCTCAGATTAATTATCTTACATTTATACCACTGACCACTGGTCAACTGTAAGATGAATGACCTCCCAAATGTATGGCTACTGTCATTGTTAGCCCTGTTACTTAAACCTTAAAATATTTTTCATTTGCTCATTTCTATCGCAGTGCTAAATCGCTACGATTCATGCTGAACTGAAACAACAATCGTGCCATTTCTATCTTCTTAAAAGGAGAACACTTGGTAGCCGAACACTTTTTTTTAAAAGACAAACCATCAAAATATTCTTCCAGTTCCCTGGCAGTGGGTCTAACATTGTTCCTCAGTAAGGTGTACATTGTCATCACAATTCCTGGTGTGCAAAATCCGCATTGTGAGCCATGGAATTTAGCAATCCGTTCCTGTAAATATTAGTTGGTAAGTATGCGTGGAAGCTATTATAAGGCGTGTATGACATCAGTAAAAATGTCTAGTAAAGTAAATGATAAATCTACAAGGACACTCAAGACTCAAAATGCATTATTTAAATTATAATAATTTCCTAAATAAAATACAAATCCTATTGGGAATTTGATTCCCCATATCCCCCACATGTAGGCAAGTCTATACGACTCCCCCACATGCAGGCATGTCTTAAGATTCCCCCACAAGTAGGCATGTCTATATGCTTCCCCCACATGTGGCATGTCTTAAGATTCTCCCACAAGTAGGTATTTCTATATGATGCCCCCACAAGCAGGCATGTCTATATGATTCCACAAATCCTCACAAGTAGGCTTGTCTATATGATTCCCCAAATCCCCAACAAATAGGCTTGTCTATATGATTCCCCAAATCCCCCACAAGTAGGCTTGTCTATATGATTCCCCAAATCCCCCACAAGTAGGCATGTCTATAAGATTGATGATATTAGAGATATGAGGACCCATAACATTTTTGGTAAGCAACAAATTGTTGTTAAGCATCACTCATTAAGAGACAATTAATTGACTAAAAGCTTTACGTTGCGCGTCACGCTACCTGTACTGGGTGCAGGTTGGCCACATTTCCGATGCCCTCGACTGTTGTGACGGCCAGGCCATGCATGGAACACACAGGAGCCAGGCAAGCGTTCACATTGTAGTGTGTGAGCAAAGTTAAGGCAAGAAATTAATCTTCAATGATGTGTTCTTATACACATATTACATCATTGCAGTGTCCTTATACACATATTGGAAATTTTTATTGAATTTTTCTTATAAATAGTTTCGTGATGAGCGGTGTACATGTCTCTATTTCGTCATTATCACAAATGATTTTTTCCCACCCACAACCGCGTGTGACATTTAGATGCCTCTGCAACTTTTCATTTTTTGGCCCGTTTATTCAAAGTTAATAGTTTTGTTCACATCACAACTTTGTGACCCCTTCATTCAAAGTTAATAGATTTGTTCACAGCACAACTTTGTGCTCCCTTCATTCAAAGTTAATAGATTTGTTCACATCACAACTTTTTGCTCCCTTCATTCAAAGTTAATAGATTGGTTCACATCACAACTTTTTGCTCCCTTCATTCAAAGTTAATAGATTTTTTCACATCACAACTTTGTGACCCCTTCATTCAAAGTTAATAGATTTGTTCACATCACAACTTTGTGACCCCTTCATTCAAAGTTAATAGATTTGTTCACATCACAACTTTGTGACCCCTTCATTCAAAGTTAATAGATTTGTTCACATCACAACTTTGTGACCCCTTCATTCAAAGTTAATATTTTTGTTCACATCACAACTTTGTGACCCCTTCATTCAAAGTTAATAGTTTTGTTCACATCACAACTTTGTGACCCCTTCATTCAAAGTTAATAGATTTGTTCACATCACAACTTTGTGACCCCTTCATTCAAAGTTAATAGATTTGTTCACATCACAACTTTGTGACCCCTTAATTCAAAGTTAATAGATTTGTTCACATCACAACTTTGTGACCCCTTCATTCAAAGTTAATAGATTTGTTCACATCACAACTTTGTGACCCTTTCATTCAAAATTAATAGATTTGTTCACATCACAACTTTGTGACCCCTTCATTCAAAGGTAATAGTTTTGTTCACATCACAACTTTTTGTGCCCCTTTAATATCCCATGCCCCCTGCAGCCGCAGGGTTTGCAGGGCCCAAGTGACGGCCCTGTCCCCACCATAAATAGTCATAATTAAAAGAACAGATTAGACTTTACTACTGAGGAAAGAGGAACCTGTACCCAACTACTACTACTTGGTTAAACAAAATTTTTTTTGATGCTGCTTTATTAAGTGTAAGCCCACTACTAATAAGTTCAATAAAGGATATTTGATGGTGTCCGACTGAGGCGAGTATTTGGACACCATGACAGTACAGGCTCCACATCCACCTTCTCCACAGCCCAACTTACTGCCGGTCAGGTGAACTGGCTTTGGTCAAGGAAAGAATTTTGTAACGAAATACAGTTTACTAACATGTGAAGCTTGTCACGTTTTGGTCAAGGAAAGAATTTTGTAACGAAATACAGTTTACTAACATGTGAAGCTTGTCACATTGTGGTAAAGTGGACAGTGGTAACATCCTTGCTCAGTAACTTCCTCCTTATTATCATGGCGTTCATATCCTTGGTAAGAAATTTTGAACAATTAAATGGGGGTATGATATGACCTTCATGAGTATCAACCAAGTATTGAAAAGGTAGCAGGGCTTGGAATTGGTGTGGCCCTCATGAGTATGACCAAGTGTGGAAAAGGTAGCAGGGCTTGGAATTGGTGTGGCCCTCATGAGTATGACCAAGTGTGGAAAAGGTAGCAGGGCTTGAATATTTGTACAATTATTATTTGACCCTTTCAGGCACCAGACGTATGTATAAGAAGGTCTTAGAGGAGGTGCCGGGTATTTAACCAGTAGTGAGGCTATGGGAAACCGACCAATGGGCAACTCACTTGTCATTGTATTAATTAAACTTAATTATAAACTATTTGTCTATAAGGTATTTAAAAACTTCATGGCCTCAAAAACTGAGAAATTAAAAATGAAACTACTTATTTTTTTTATTTTTTTTAATATGGGATTGTTGCGAGACTAATTTTTAATTAAATGGATACGCTTGGTTCGAATGTAAGTCAGCAAGGTCATTTCCGGGTCAGGTTCCTTATCTTCAACCTGGAGAAGGGGAAAACAAAATATGGAGGAAGAAAATGATGTTTTCTCTTTTTGTTGATAAATCTTTGAATATTGAAATGATATATTGGTCGTAGAAGTAGAAGTTGTTTGCTGTGCAGATCAATCAGGTTATGCAAGGGAAAGCTGAGTGGCCAGTATCAAAGGTCACCAATTTTGAGAGTTGATTGTGTCACCTTTAATAGGATAAACTTGTATAGTTTCTAAATTTCGCCCTTTGTTTTTCCTCAACCCCCCAAAAAATGTTACAAACATTTGATTAAAATTGAATTAGTGTATAACAACACAAAAATGTATTTGCACGTAAATTTTAAAAAAATATGTGGGGCTAGTGGGCCCAATTAAACATCCCAATCGTCTGGTCACAAATATGTCGGGCTAGTGGGCCCAATTAAACATCCCAATCGTCTGGTCACAAATATGTCGGGCTAGTGGGCCCAATTAAACCATCTCAATCTTCTGGTCACAAATATGTCGGGCTAGTGGGCCCAATTAAACGTCCCAATCGTCTGGTTAGAGCGTCTGTGTGATTTAATAGCTATCGTGACTAAAACGTTTGGTGCTAAAAAAAATTTAAATTCCGGGTCGCTGACTGATATCACAATGAAATAGTTGTAATATTAAAAAAATACAAAGAATTTTGAACATGACAGTCATCTGGTTTAAACGTTGCAACGCTAAATGATATACTTTTGTCCAAAAATTTTAACCGACAAAGGGGTTACCGGTGCAGGATTAACCTAAAGGCAAATGGAAGCACCTGTAGGGGCCCCACGACAAGGGATCCATTTTTTTTTTAAAGCAGGAGTGGGTGCGACTTGATTGGATCTTCAACGTACCTTGTAATTCCTCAATTTGAAATCCCGTCCACCTTGGTTACATATTATGACTGACCCAATTAGCTGGTGTAGCTTACATTTTACTATAGACTATGATGTATATTTATTTCTATTGTGATCAAAAGATATTTTGTCAAAATCTTCCCTTTCTTGATTACCGTCTTAGGAAAAAGTTAAGAGATGCGTTGTAACTTGGTTCTCTTATGTTTTTCTTTTCTCCATCAAATTCTCAAACAGGTGTTCTTAACCTCCCTATCTCGAACTAAAAACAACTTTCGATCCTCGTGATAAAAAATGCTTTAAAAAATGCAAATAAACAAGATATTATGTGTCTTCCCACATCCCCTAAACCCCTCCCCCCCCCCTTTTCCCCATACGGTAAACACAGAAACATTTAGAAAAAGTTTTCCTCTTTATAAATAAAGGCTTACATTTTAAAAAATGATGAATAATACATTTAAGAAATTCTAGAAAACATTATGAGTAACTAAAACTTGAAAGCAATAAGAAAATTACCCGAAGTCCATTGACGTAGAAGATCAGAGGTAAACTCTCCAAATCAATGGCTCCCATCTTCTGTCCAGCTGGCTTCTTGACTTTGATATGCCGACGACTGTTAAAGTTTGTTGAATATGTGTATCAAATGATGTAACAATGTTATGAAAAGATATGTTCAAGCGTTGTCATAATTTTTATATCTTCAGAATATTTGTATTTTTTGGATACCTTTATAATATTGTCATAATCTGTATACCTTCAGAATATTGTGAAAACTGTAAAGGCTTCCTTCAGAATATTGTCACAATTTGTATACCTTCAGAATATTGCAAAACTTTATACCTTCAGAATGTTGTCACGAGAGCAACAGCTACGACACGGCTATACAAGAGCAATAGCCAAGACTATGCTGTAGCAGAGCAATAGCTAAGACACTGCTGTAACAGATCAATAGCTAAGACACTGCTGTAACAGAGCAATAGCTACGACACTGCTGTAACAGAGCAATATCTAAGACACTGCTGTAACAGAGCAATATCTAAGACACTCCTGTAACAGAGCAATTGCGAAGACACTGCTTAACAGCAATAGCCAAGACTATGCTGTAACAGAGCAATAGCTAAGACACTGCTGTATCAGACCATAGCAAAGACTATGCTGTAACAGAGCAATAGCCAAGACTATGATGTAACAGATCAATAGCTAAGACACTGATGTAACAGAGAAATAAATAAGACCCTGTTGTAACAGAGCAATAGATAAGACACTGATGTAACAGAGCAATAGATAAGTCACTGCTGTAACATAGCAATGGCTAAGACACTGTTGTAACAGATCAATGGCTATGGCACTGATGTAACAGATCAATGGCTATGGCACTGATGTAACAGAGCAATAACTAAGACACTGCTGTAACAGAGCAATAGATAAGTCACTGTTGTAACAGAGCAATAAAAAAGACGCTGGTGTAACTGAGCAATAGATAAGTCACTGATGTAACAGAGCAATAGATAAGACACTGCTGTAACAGAGCAATAGATAAGACACTGATGTAACAGAGCAATAGATAAGTCACTGATATAACAAAGCATTATATAAGACACTGATGTAACAGAGCAATAGATAAGTCACTGATGTAACAGAGCATTATATAAGACACTGATGTAACAGAGCATTTATATAAGACACTGATGTAACAGAGCATTATATAAGACACTGATGTAACAGAGCATTATATAAGACACTGATGTAACAGAGCAATAGATAAGTCACTGATGTAACAGAGCATTATATTAGACACTGATGTAACAGAGCAATAGATAAGACACTATTTTCACTAATTAACAGAGTAATACACTGATGTAACAAAGCAAAGCTGAGACACAGATGTAACAGAGCAATAGCTATGACGCTGTCACAAGGCCGGAAACTCGCCTGTTACACCTTAGACTCCAAAGAAAGCATCGATGAAAACAAAGATGTAAACACGATGTGTAGCACGTCGACTAAGTCTCCTCAGCGTAACAGGACATTAGTTTCACACGGACACAGGACGGTGCACTTGACCGTGGCGACTACTGTGTAGAGTCACTCTCCCTACTCCTACTGGGCTTTTTATTGCCAGGTCAACAACAATCTTTCTTGCTACTGATGACTCTGTCAGTTTTTTCCACTTACTCTCTTAGTCATATGTTTGTTCTCTGTTTGTTCCGCATTAGCTTATTGACGAATTATTAGGACTGAATTAAACTTAACAAGTCACGCTTTATATAATATTTGGTGGCTAGATGAGAGGTTCTTAAAATATTTGGCTCCTTGACTCTCGTAGGTGGGTATATGTTTGTCGGCGATCAGGTGGGGCAACGTAT